CCCCCCCCCCCCCCCCCCCCCCCGCTGAGCGGAGCAGGGCTGGGACACGTGTGCTCAGACGGGAGCGGAGCCGACAGCCCAGCGGAGCGGCGTCTCACTCCCACAGAGCCCGCCGTCTTATGGTGGGCGGGCGGGGGCCTCGCCGGGCCCCCCGCTGCCCAGCGGGAGGCCCTGGCCAGCCGGGGGGGACGGACTGGAGGTCCTCACACCCTCCGAGCGCGGCTCTGACCGGATGACGGCAGCTTTCGGGGAACGGTTACCTCAACCCCCGGAAAGCATGTTTGCACCACACAAACACAAGGGAGGGAAGGAATCTAAGACCGAAAGAAGGGAACACACTCTCAGAAACACATTTTGTATAAAACATCTGTCGCAGCCTCAGCCCAATACTCATCCATTCCTCCGACGTTCTGCTTTATAAATATACATTTATATACACTTAATGCTAGCCTTTTAATCATGTCTCAATGCTGGAAGTGGTAGAGTTTGCTCAGCTCAGGGCGGGTTCAGAGAGGTTGAGGCCATGCGGACATGTCCTCCCTTGTCAGTGCAGACAGGAGGTGGGACAGGAGGAGGATGGGGGGGGGGGGGGGTCTTCTTGCTGAGGAGTGGACGGCGGTAAAGATCAGACGCACAGTCAGCCTGCAGCGTAACTGCTCAGGAAGGAGTAGAACATGGGGAGCTTCATGCGCTGCTGGTCCCGCCGACACCAGGCCATCACCGTGCCCTCGCTGTTGGCGGTGTAGAGGTGGTGGCCGTCACACGAGTACGTCAGGCTGAGGTGGACAGGGGGGGAAAAGGCTCTCCTCACTAACACCAACAGACTCCAGACCAAACCAGCATGAGGCACCGTGTGAAACACGCTGTAGTGCCTGATGAAATACCTGATGATGGGTTTACTTGACTTCGGGAATGTGATCTCTCTGACTGGTTTCAAATCCCAGGTGCTCCACAACCTGAAAACATTTCAGAGAGAAAAGGATCCGTCAGTGGACGGCGGGAGAAGCATACGCTTAAAGAGAAAAAAAGGCCTTTCTGCTCACCTGACGACACCGTTCTCCAGACCACCGGCGATGACGTTGACAGACACGCCCTCGGGCTGGTTGGAGAAGGCCACCGAGCAGATGGTCTCTCTGCAGTGGACATGACCAATCAGGTCACCGTTCACCGTCCAGAGGCGCAGGTCACTGCCTCCGCCCTCTGCATTTAAAAAAAAAGAAAAAAAAATCAGAAAAAAAGAGGACTCATTGTTCACACTCTGGACCAGTGCACGCATAAAAAAACAGACAGATGTGACACAAAGAGTAGAGTTATGAAACAAGATGCGTCTCCCACAACCTGAGTCACAGACTGTTGCAATGTCTCCTGTGGTCTCACTGGCACACACGGCAGTGACTGGACTTTTGTGGCCCGTGAGGCTTTGAACGTAACACAGTCTGAAATGGGGAACAAAGAAGGATTCAGATACAGAGCAAAAGCGGCTGTTCTTTTGGTTTTCCACGTCAAGGTGCGCTGACCTGTTGAGGTCCCACAGGATGCAGGTGCCGTCCGTGCTCACGCTGATGAGGATGCTGTAGGGCTTGCAGACAAACAGGCTGGTGACTTCCCCCGTGTGGCCGTACAGGTGAGCCTGAGATTCCACCTCCATCTCCGACGGCTACCGAGACACGTATTCCAAAGGTGTTAGAAGCACAGTACAGATGACACGCAGGCCTACATGTGTCTGGGGATCCTGTTGTCCTTGGCTTTTTCTTGTCCTAAAATAAATCTTTGGAAATCTCTGCCTGGTGTGGGGAAACCACTGAAAGGCCTCTCAGATGACTGAACTCCCAGACCCCTAATCCCACTTACAGGCTGGGTGGAAATGTGTTTCAAGGGCAGCTGTGATGTGACTAATGAAGCCGAGCGTTTGCGTACGGGGAAGCTGTCTAAGAGAGGAGGATGGGGGGTGGGGGGTAATGGGTGGGTGGATCGGGTGTTCGTGAAGAGTCGGAAGGTTAGGGGGGGACGTTGCCATGGAAACCCACCGTGGTGCTGGTGAAGCGGTTGCTGTAGGCGGTGATGACTCCGCACTTGCTGCCCGTGAATAGCTGGCAGCCATCAGGCACCCAGGCGCAGCTGGTCACCTGGAGGAGAGGTACACACACAGTGGGAGGCAAGAAATGAAACCTGGATGGCTTTTTGCCTTGTCCTTAGGTTGGTGCGATGTGATATATTCATTAAAAGCCACGAATTATCACTAAAAACAGGTTTACCTGGTGAAGCTGTGAACACTGAATGAAGTTGATGGGCGGCTCGCTCTGCTTGCTCTTCAGCCTCAGTATGTTGTCAGCGTAGCCCCAGCTCAAGATGGCCGACCACTGGATGTCCGTGCTGTGCATGCTCCGCACACCTACAGAGCAGAGATTTAATGGATGAGCAGGAGGCTGTGCAACCCATCCTGTACGGCGTGTGCGGGCGCCTGGCCCCTCTCACCCTGCTCCTTGCTGTAAATCATCATGAGGCAGAACTTGCGAGACAGGCCGCAGATGGCTCGAGTTGGCAGAGCCAGCAGGGATCCGAACCTCTCTCCATGTGGCTGGCTGAAACACACCACTGGGTCTGGAGCAGAGGGCGAGCCCACATACTCACCCCACTTCAAACCTTTGATCCATGGAAGAGGGCTCTGAGGGGATGGGCAAAGAAAAGTGAGCAGCACATCCATTTATATATGCTGCCTTGTTTCACCTCCTCAGCGCACAGCACTCCAACAACTGCGGACTGGATTACCGGGCAGATGATTTCTTTGGCCTGCTCTCTCGTCTCTCTGAAGGCCAGGTGAACCAGGAGCCCCATGGCTGCCGGGAGCTCCCCCTCCATCATTAGTTTGGGCCCCGCCCTGCTGATATGTGAAGTGTTGAAGAGCTGCCTGGGAGTCTGGCCGTAGGTTTTGATCATTGTCTCCAGGGCCCGTCGCTGGACTGGGTCCTCCACGGCTGACACGTCCATGCCAAAATAGGTCTGTGAAACATCAAAAAAGGGCTGGTGTGAGCCACAGCATGGAAGCCCCCCTGACAGTACCAAACAGATGTGGAAGTCAGCGCAGGCTTACAGCTGGGTGGAAGACGTTGATGGCGTGAACAGCAGCTTTGCCCTTTTGCTTGAGCCCGAAAACCAAGTCGATCCACTGACAAAGAGTCTGGGAGACCTGGTCGGACTCCAGTGCTTGTCGGTGGATCAGGATGAAGAGACGCGGGTCGCTGCGAGCCCATGGGGGTAAATTAACGTGATTCACCCGCTCACCATTCTGACGAACCCCAAAATCAAAACCTGCACATGCAAAATGTGAGAACGGTGAAAAATCCACACATGTACAGAAAGTATACAAGCAGAAAGACAAGGGAAAAGAATTACCCTCTCTGTTCACCAGGAATTCAGGGAGGTAAAAAAACTCTGGGATCAGCTCTTTCACATCAGTCATGGACTCATAGGAAGACAAGCGCCATGTGGTGTTCATGGAATGAAACGTCCGGTCCGGGATATCAAAGCTCTGGTCTAATTGGGGGCAGAGAAAATCTAATTACAGATTCGACCCACTGCTTGAAAACGTCTCCTTTCATGACCTTAAACACCATGCTTGCTGAATACATTTGCAATAACATAAAAAGATGCCTCAAAAGATCAGATGGGAGACGCAGATGTATGAAAAACAAACTGATATTAAAAAAGACAGAGAAAAGAAAAGGGGGTTTGATCAGAGAGGCGCCGAGAGATAAAAACAAGCTTTCATGGTAAGAACCCGTTGCTGCTCAGTGAGAGTGAGACGATCCGGTTTGTGCCAGATCCTCAAGGTTATAGGTGTTACTTTAGTGTGTTACGTCCATGGGTTCCAGCTTTACAACTTTGCCTTTGGATTTTTCAGAAAAGCTGTATGTGTGACTCACCCTGGTAGGCGAGGAACATTTTTGTGAAAGGGGGCATTCGAACCAAGAAGTGCAACACAGTGCCACTGTTGGAGTAGTGTGAGCCGTAGTGGTAAGGCTGAACAGGAGGCATGGGGTCGTCCTCACGAATGCCCTTTTTGTACTCCTCTTCCAGGTACTGCCGGTAAAACATGGAATGGTGAATTTAAAAAAAAGGGGGGGGGGAAAGTATATACTGTATTTTTCTTTTTTAAATCAACTCCTCCAGTGTGCTGAAGTAACACAAAAGGTGCTAAAAATGTGCTGGCTGCCTTACCCTGTAATTATCAACATAGCGATCCTCTTTCTCTTTTGACTGGACTGCAATGGGTTTGATTAGGTTCCTGAAATGAAAGTAAAGGAGGAATGTAAAACACCTCCCACACAAAACGATCCCACATCAGAAGTCGTGAATTCCTGTTTAGACAAAAGATAAAATCCTCTATTTTCTCTGCTCTGACTCAAGATGAACCAGCAAATTCTTAATTCCATCTGTAAAATGAGAGCGGTGCACTTTCCACTATGCAGTTAAATGCACTTGTGTCTCCTACATTCAAATGTTCGATTGCCGGGACGGACCTGTAGATGTTGGGGTCCTGCAGGTCGAGCGTCTCGCTGGTGTAGTCGCGCAGGATGAAGGGGAACACCGGGTACTGCATGAGGTCGTTGAACGAGCGCCCTGCATGCTTGTTGAGGTGTGTGAGGTACTCGAAGTTGGTGATCTGGCCTGAGCCCCACAGATGTGTGAGCGCCGTGATGTTCCCGTGCTCGAGCAGGTTTGGAAGGTCAGAGGTCAGGATGTTGTGGTAGACGTCGTCTCGGAACTGAGGGCAGAACACACAGACCGTGACTTAATGTGTCAGGATGTATGTAAAAACCGCTAATGTGCAAGTGCACAGTGTGAAAGGCACAGCATAAAAACAGACAGTCTGCATTCATCCCCCCAGTTTAATTCATTCAAAAGCCAAAGGTTTTCTAAAAGACTTTGACTAGGCTTACAAAAAATATCAATGACAAAAACACATCCTGAATCATAGCGACAGTTCCGATCAGAAATCAACACATGAAATAATGTTATCAGTTTTGAATTCAGTAACAAATCTTTTCATTTTCATCCCATTATGTTTCTTATCTCACCTTGGTGTTGTCAAAGGCTAACAGCAGGGTCCTGCCATTGGTGAGGAATATCTCCACAGCGTTGTCTCTGAGCTGCCACCATCGCTTGTGCACCTCCTTAATCTCTTCATAGGTCCAGGAAAAAGAAGGCGCCTCGGTCTCCCCGTGAAGGCTCTATTCAAGGAAAAACATTTCATTTTCAGCGCCCAGATCGGAAATAGGACACGTTCAGTGGTACCTTTGCACTAGGAGATAAGAAGGAGCCCTTTAGGTTTTACCTGACTCTCGTGAGCATCAGCAGCGTTGTCCTCCACAAAGTACATCCCAGACTTTCCTGTGAGGCAGCACGGGGTGAGGCATGGTTAAAAGAAGGAGCGAGACAAACAGAAGCTCTCCTCTAACAATAAATATATTCTATTCAGTATATAGTGAACCCTTCCATGCAGACTACATTATGCATGGAGCAGATGTGAATGCTGGACACCGTCTTACCTAGAAGTAGCTCCCCTGCTGTCTCTCTTGAGGGGGCGACGCTGATGCACCGTCTGGTGAACCTGAGGACACAAAAGCATTTCTCATATTAGAGGAATACCACCTGAATAAGGCCCAGTCGAATAAGGCAGAGAGACAGATCCTTACCTGATGGACTCGCTGGTGGCTTTGTCTTTGACAGTAGAGGAGAAGGAAGAATGTGTCTTATCCTCAAACAGGAAGGACAGCGCCGGCTTCACAGCATCTAAACCCAACAAGGAGGTCAGATAAGGCGATGAAAATCAGATCAGCGCTGGGCTGAGTTTCCACACTAAGAGTTCGTCCACCTTCAGCTTTGCGTCTATCTTTGAGCAGGTATTTGTTTGGTATGGTGAGGTAGCATCTCTGAAGGCGTCGCCGCTCTCGGTTAGGCCCTTCAGTGGGGTCCAGCTGCCAGGATGTTGGGTAGGATGTCTGATCATACCAAACCGCCCTGAAACACACCATGGCAGATAATGTGATTATCTACAGGTCACTCACTCCCTCTCTTCAGTCAGTCAGCCGCTTTCTTTTGTTTTAATCATAGGACATTACAGCCAATTTCACAGTGAAAAGCAGCTTTGAATACAGATATCATCAGACCTTAATGAGACTACACTGATGAGCCTATGTGAAAAGCAGACGAACATCCACACTCACCGGTCATGTGTCAGCTGCTGCACCAGCTCCTGCCAGTGGCGGCTGGCGCTCAGGTCGGTCTTATAAAGGCCCCTGATGTGCTGAATGACCTTTTTTCTCTCCATCCCTTGCCGCAGAGACACATTCTGAGTGATATCAGCTGCAATCTTGGAAATGTCCTTTGACTTTCCATCCAGCCTCTGGATGAGACTGCACATGAATATCGAAGAACAGAGTGAAATTAGAAATGAAAGCAAAGACAGTATTCTTGGCAGTACTTTCCTCCTCTTCAAACAACAACAAGAATCTCACACTATTAAAAAAAGAAAGCCCCTACTCACTTCCTTTGGGTATTTGCCATTTTCTTTTCCCAAGCCACTTTACTTGTTTTCTCCTCCGCTTCATACTTGAACTTTTCCTGTGAGAGATAAGTTAAATATGTTTAACCAACATCTGAGGAACCACAGCATACTCTGCGTGTATGAAAATGTTCAACTTGCACAGATCTTGACATTCAGTAGAGCATAGGTTTGGAGGCGGAGCCTGGTTCCTTCAACAGTGTGTCTGTAGGACAAACCTCTTTTATGGCTTTGAGCAGGTCTTGTTTGTGGGGAGCGTTTGGTGGGATGCAGCGATGTCCGCACAGCTTCAGCGAGGTCATGAACACGCCAACAGCGCCTTGCTCTTCTTTGGTGAGCTCGTCTTTGTGATCGTGCAGCATCTCGTATAGGTATAGCGACAGCTTTGGCCCGTGCTGAGTGAAAGTCAGAGCCAGAGAGTGATGGAAACGACTGATTAAGTTTTGTGTCTGAATCAAGTGAAATCACCCTAACCTTAAACCCTAACCCTAATGGATACGGAAAAAAAAACTCTCACTCCAAATTTTCCGTTAAAGTGGAAGTCAGGGCATTTTTAGGAAGACTTGTCTATTTCATTTACCTCTAAACCCGGACTGAGGCTCTCCTTGAGGATATCCAAATGTCTGGGATCAAACACAAACTCAAGAGCCTCCTTCCGGTCTGACAGGGGATGTGATGGGCTGAGTGTGTGCACTAGCAGACGGCCAATTTGGACCCTGAAAGTGTCCCGACAGGACCAAAGGATCCTTCGCCACTGATGATGGGGGGTTCCCCCGCGCCCAGTGCTGCCCTGTGAACCAAAAAGCATTACAAGCTTTGTAAACACCGGTTGGAGCAGAGTTCCAAGACAACTGCAAACGTCTATGTGAATGCTTTCATACCAGGCTGATTTTGATCCCGTCCATCATTAGTTTGAGGATGTCTTTTTGAAAGCTCTTCTTGTTTGCGGGGGGAAGAGTGAAGGGCGTCGGAGAGTGTGGGACCGAGGTGGACCCACCCTCATCATGAGGTTGATCACCTGGATCTGGTGTGAGGATCTGATGGTCAGGGGAGTCTGGGATATTCAGGAGATCAAACAAGTCCTGACTCACGTCTGAAACAAAGGATGCACCCAAACGGAATAAACATTAGGAAGCAGGTGGAGAAGATGAGTGAAACATGATTCAGGAATACAGAATAGTTACCATAGTAAATGAGTCTGTTGACAGCAAGAACCACAAGCCTCTGCAGTCGCTGGACAAACTCAGTCTCGCTGGCACGAATGGGGTTTTCCTGGCTCATCCTCCTCTGCATCATCTGGCTGAGCTCATCGCTGGCGACGGAACGCATCCGCATCAGAAGAGAGTCGGTCTGGGCCAGAGAGAACCGGCGCCGACCTGCAGATGTAACAATAACATACTTTGTCGGGCTGCTTAGAATGCCGTGCCGATCGTAAGAAGCTTTCAAGTCCAGATGAAGCTTTTGTGAATATCTGCTAGAAGGTGATTAGGATCCACTTGTCAGAATGACAACTGTGCTGAAATGCTCAACTCTGACTTAGCTGAGCATTAAAACATACACACAGGAAAGCACCAGTAGCGCACAAGCATTACTGGGCAAATTAGCTCCCAGAGTGAGAGTCGGGAACGGAGAGAGGCCACTGCAAACATGGGAGACATGCCCCATGGGACATGGGAGGATGGTCTCCGCTGTGGACCGCAGTCCCAGCTACCTGCATCACAGTGGAGCATGTATGATGGAGAACTAGAAGGGGAGGGGAGGGAGCTGTCCTGGGACAGGAAGCTGAAGGGTGTAGACATGGGGATCTGGCCGTAGGAGCAGTAGTGCTGTCTGGGGATGCGGGGGATAATGGAGTCTTTCATAGCAATGGAACCTTCAGACGGGGGATGAGTAGAGGATCAGAAACGGACAAATTTCTGCCTCGACACCCAGGAAGACAGAGGCAGTCGCCCTCTCGTTGTAGTACACACCTGCGATGCTCTTACGCTTCTGATAGAGGGCGTGATGCGGAGAACTCGGCGTGTTGACGGAACTGCTCAGCTTCCGAGGTTCCTGGTTGGCTGTTGTCTTTATGAACTCAATCGCTGACTGGAGGACTCGGAACTGCAAAGCCACAGCCATCTCTGAGAACAGAGAACAGCCAGGACAGTTGTGACCCTATGACACTCAGCTGGTTCAATCAATAAACCAACAAATCCAATAAACAGGTTCATCAGTTTGAAGTTGCAAAATAAAACGAGAAGTACCAAAATGAGACCAGTCCAACATACCAAAGAGAGGTCAGTTAGTAAGTAAGGATAAACTAAGTCTCAAAATGGCTGTTACTGTCAGTCAAATATGATGAAATGACACAAAAGCAGCTTTCATACAAACTTCCCCAAAAAGCAGAATGGAGCAGATGTCTAGAAAGTAATCTGAAGGGCTTGATGGCACCATTGATGAAACGCGCACCTTAGGGACAGTCTGAACCAACAGAGGCGCTTTCAGGCATAAAACACGTTTTTCGCCTAACAAAATCTATTCTCTTTATAGCTACCAGAATGAATAGAAAAATGGGCAAATGTTATCAAAATGCCATGTTACTGTGATCATATAACACATCAAATCATATAAATTGGGAAATAAGTGCTAAATGGGAAAGAGGGGGCAGACATATTTCAGAGAGCAAATTCAGAGAAAAATGAGAGGAAGCCATTTGGAGATGAGATAAAAATGTGAGATGGGAATAATCAGTTTTTCCCATGCCTTTTTACTCTCTAGCTGCACATCATGATGTGACGGTCCAACTCCTTCTGCTGCCACAGAGCTTGACAGCTTGATATCATCCACGACAGCAGAACAGAGATTACAAGACTGATCTACTTTGCATTTGAGAAACCCATTGCTCACCTTGGGTGCGGCGCGTCTTGCTGGTCTGCATAAAACCCAGCAAGGTAATGAGGTCTTCGATGATGCGGAAATACTGGGACCCTGAAGAGCTGCAGGAGTGGATAGTCACGGCTACTAACATTTGCTGGATATCACACACCAGGAGCTTGTAGTCATTCAGGGGAATACTACAGAGGGAGAACAAAAATACAAGTGAACATGAAACACAGGAACTCACTATGTGGAAGATCAACCAACAGTAAGAAGATTAATGATTTAATTCTGGGCTCAATAGCTCAAAACTAAACCCATGAACCCATGTAGGTGTGGGAATGAATCATCCTCTGTTCTGGCAGCCGTACCCGTTCTCCATGCCATTTAGGGTGGAGAGGGTGTTGAAGAGCACGTAGAGCAGCCCGTGGTCTAGCAGGATGTCTGCCAGCTTGGGGCAGGCATTGACGAGCTGCAGCAGCATACAAAGGATGTTGTGCACCAGGGAGTTCTCATAAAGAGAGTTTTCAATCAGACCCAGCAAGGGGATGATGCAGCGCTTTCTGAAGGGAGAGATATTTTCCATCTCGTCCAGGTCCAGGCTGGAAATACAAGACAAAAATCTGATTCTCGTGTATGCAGCACGCATTTCTCTCTACACAATGCATAATCATGTAAGATAAGTGCTTGTCAGCATATTATCTCTGGACTCACTCTTCCTCCAGGCCCATGGGGCGTCCAAACAGCATCTCCAGGAAGCATTCAAGCAGCCCCTGGCTGCCCTGGTGGATGTAAAGCTGGTTGGCCAGCAGGGAGAAGCCATGGTTCTTCAGAAACTTCTCCTTCTGTTCTTTGAGAGCCCTGCTGAAATAGGCATCCAGCAACTGGGAGAGAGGACGGAATAAATTAGATATTTAAGTGCACTGGAGAACTGGTCAAGGGCCTCATTCACAACCCGCATGACACACATATCAAAGCAGGGGAGTACACACATTAAAACGGATAGTTTGGGCCATGTGGGTTAAATAAAACATTACAGTTTAATTTGATGTGCTATTCATTGGGTCAGAGATGTTCGGCGAATAAATGGGAACAGAAATTCTAACAAGACAGCATTATGCCGACTCACTTTCATGACTCCTTGCTGGATAAGAGGTGAGGAATGATTGACCAGGACAATCAGTGCCTCTGGCTGGATGAGTTTGTCCATCACCTCCTCAAGCATGAGGTCAGGCAGCAGCAGTAAGACACCCCTCAAAAGATCGTAGAGTCCACAGCAGACCAGCACCAAGCAGTCCTCTGTGCTGGACCTGAGAGAGAATTGATCGATTAGTGCTGTATTATTGTGTGCGAGACAAGATCTGAGTGGTGTTCTAAAAACAAAACCTTTGGAAAATAAATAAAAGTAGAAGTAGAACGTTTTGTACACTTTGCTTAAACATTCTAACTGGCTCTGAAACCTGCAGGTTTACTTATAGAAATATGCCCACATGCCTGTCATTGGACTCAGCTTTGCTCTGTGCCCTCTCATAACCAGGAGAGTAGGTGTAGCTTTCCCAGTCTTCAGGCATGGAGCCGCGGTCAGCTGCACTGGGCCATCGGCCGGCTGCCAACGAACCATTTGGAACTGGGAAAGCCAGACCCAGACTGGCCAGGTTGCTGTGGCTCCTCTGGAAGGACTGGATGCCTTTCAGACTGTCAGGGCGCCGTGGTGCCTCATCGCTGGCCCAGTCAAACCTGTCCTCGGACTCTGCCACTCCCACGCTGCCCTCTGCCAGACTGTCCACCTCCGCAGCCTCGTCCCTCTCCTCCTCCACGCTGATGGATGGGGTGCGCAGGGCAACTCCCTCGCCTGCATCCTTGGAGTCACAGATTGTCTGGGCTGACTCGCAGCTGCTCAGGAGCTGCTCGTCACCTCCGACCTTCTTCAGAGTCTCCGTGCTGCCGAGGGTTTGCTGAGAGGTGAGGGACACCCCGTCGCTTTCCCCTGCTTCACTCGAGCTGCCGTTTCCCAGCCGAGGAGTCAGCAGAGGCGAGGTGTACGGAGATAAAGCAAGAACAGGGGGGCGTAACGACTGATCATCGCCTCCATGCTCAGTGGAGGGACCTTGCAAATGACCTGGGGAATATGACAAAATTACCCATAACTTACAAAACAAGTGAAGAATTGATGGTTTATAGGGCCAGGGGGCAGTTATTAAAAAGTATGAACAGACATTTATCAGTGATATAACTGAACACGACCATGAAAACCCCTTTGAAAAAAGCTAATACCCAATTCAGGTGGTAAATGAGACCAAGTCTGTTTTAATGAGACGAGTGATATCTTTTCGTACTTGTGACCTTTTCGTTACCTATGTTTGCAATAAACAAAAGGAGGGACACTCTTCATCATCCCTGCTCATCCAAATATGGCCTATTCCAGCTACAGAAAGCCCCAGATTCAACAGCTGAGCACTGAAGCGATGCTTCAAAATGGGAGGCCGCAAACCAGTGGGTGACTTTGATCATGCACAGCTCAATGTTAAATGACTTATTTTAGAGAAAAAAATGACAAAAATTTAGGGAATTGAAATTCTTTCAACTGAATACAATTTTCTTTCTCAGAAGTATTGATGTTCAGCTATCTAAATGCCCATTTAGTCATCTCAACGCTGCTGATCCCTCCATTCCTAATGCCATTCTCAGCAGCAAACTGCAGATTGAATCATCTTCAGCGTTTTGTAAGCAGATGTACCTTCATGGGGAGCATCAGTGAAAACAGTCGGAGAGAGTGACATCACAGAGCTGCTGGCAGACTTCCCTCCACTGTTGGAGTGTCTCAAGTACATAATGGACTGCACCTTTTCCTGGTAGAGCTTCCCATCTGACAAACAGAGACATCAAAACGGCTTCAGTGCATTAAATGTACTACACTTTAATACAGAGATGCTAGATTCAGCCATGGTTCTTTCTCACCTATGTGTAGTGAGAAGTAGAAACTAGATGGAGTATGGCAGACGTAGGTGTTGGTCGGCGGGTGAACAGCCAGCAGAAAGTTATAGATCAGTTTTAGCAGATCCATGTCTGGAGGAGACCCGAGTACTTCCTGGATGATCTTGATGAAGGACAAGCAGACCTCTTGAGGAATGGCTGTCAGATGCTCGTCCCGATGCTCCTTAGGAAAAACACCATGCTCTTAGTAACAGTTTAAAAGCGGAAAGGTCTCATGATCAAATAGTGATTTACCTGTAAAACCTGGCATGTAAGCAGGAAACGATGGACAACCTCAGCATTGAGGAACTGACGGATGTTGTACACCTGATGAGGATGGTGCACCCTAATGAGGATCTCCAGGGCAGCAAGCAATGTTTCCCAGACTCCACACTAAGGAAGATGACACCAACAGTAAATAGGCACGCAGAGGAAGAAATAACAACCAATCACCACCATCACAAATTAAGTTCAGGTATGAAAAACTAAATCAGCTGGCTTAGGGTTATGAGACCCTAGGAATCTAGACTACAATTTGTGTCTGTCTCACAGTTTGATTGCCTATGTCTGAGTTTACCTCGGCCCTGGCCCAGATCTTCCAGTCCAGCAGAATGTCTGAAAGCATCCTTATGTCCTGCACAACAGCAGCTGACTCAGTGTCAAGCCGGAACTGACCGTCGTCCCCAAGGATGAGGATTGGTCCACTGCAACACCCATCAAGTAAGGTCTAGACATAATGGACAAAATGCAGGCTTTAAAAAGTGCTAACAGACACTTCTGTAGAGTTTCTTACAGAGTGTTTACTATGCATCAATACATGTTTACGTAATGCAGAGCAGTAAACAGGAAGAAAATCAATACGTTCTCAATTAAACTGTTGATGAGCTTATGATCCATTTAAAAGAGTGGCTATTTATTCTGCAAGCGGCTTTGTCTGAACTTTTGTATAAAATGCGAGAAACAGAACATTAAAGCATGAGTCTTTTTCATATTATGATTTATATTGTGCTCCATCATAATTTAGTGCAACTTTATGCTTACTAATACAAACTGTGGAGGTCTATAGTGAGACAGTCAATCAGAGGAGCAGTAAGTCTGCAGGATCTAAATGTTTCATCAAGTCAGACAGCATCCATTTCAGCACAGAGCCATGGCACAGCTCTATTACAGATATAGCTTTAGGGTCAAATAACAGCAGTATCACTGATGTCAGTTCAGGGAAGAACTACCACTAAAGTGGAGGATGCATGAACTGAAGAAGGGAAAGAGTCTCAGGGTTGACTCACTTTCAGCACATGATATCCTACGATGCATTTGGGCTTGATGAGGACCTGATGGATCATAGAGTAACCATGGTAACAGTCCATTTCATGTATGCGGTGCTGGTTAAACTTGCACAGAGACAGCAGCACTCGAAGGGCCAGAGCCTGGGTCTTCTCACAGTCGCTGAGCTCCACCGTCTGGACACCGCAGAGCCAGAGATGAGGGACAGACAAAAGCACACAACACACGTTGGGCATGAAAGCAACACATTCTTGGAGATGCAGTTATACAAGTGAAAGCCTGTAACACAGCAAATAAAGCCAGATTTTATGAATATGATCAATAAAATTGCCGATTTAGTTCTGTGTTTTGTTAAAAATATTATGGTTAATATTTCAATTTGGCATTTCAGCTTGGAAAAGAAATGTTCTTTAGAGTTGGCCCACTGTAGAACATTTACTGTAGTACATTTAGTGTAGTTGTGTATGGTAACATCCACATTTTATGTTCCTCAAGAATTGTGGTTTTTATTGTCTCAGTCTGGAGTTCAATAAAAAAATAGATAATCTTACCTGTGCAAAGAGAAAGACAAAATTTCCTGTTCCTCCAATCTTGTGCAGGACGCTCTGCAGGCCCTGAGTTTCAGTGGGAAGCAGAGCTTTGAGCGTGCTGGGGTCAAATGAAACACTCTGCACCTCCTTGGAGCTGAAGGGCCTCTGGGTGACCACCGTCTTGGCCTGACCTTTCAGCCTGATTACCGGTTCATAGATTGTGTAGACTCTGGGCCTGCTGGGAGCATACACCACTGCCAAGCTCTCCTGTGCAGAAACAAAATCCCCTTTCAGGCAACCCAGTAAGCTTTTAACTGATTACGGTTTTTGTTTCAATTTAAACCCAAAATCGATTCCTCGCACAGAATTTGACTTAATCAGAACTTTTTGTTTGGGAAAGGCTCATATTTATCATTACCTCTTTGAAGCAGTACAGTGCTCAGATATTATCAATTATAAACAACAAATCAGACTTCAGGGGTCTTTTATCGATGAGATGGAAGCAAAGTGATTAAAAAAAAACTACAAAAAGAAACTACAAGAGCTGAAAGTAGCAAAGACATTTTTTGTGTTACGACCCTAAAAATGATTTTTTTTTTTTTAAACCCAGCAACTTACAACCAAAGCTGTTGTGTCGATATCCTTGTTCTTCATCAGGATCTCCCTCACATGCTCACACTTTAGACCATCCTGAGTGATAAACTTGGACAATGATCCTTTTGGCTTGCCATACTTGCAGGGCATGATTGATGTGAGGTCAGGTCCACTGGAGTAGAGGTAGAAGGCCTCGTCAGAGCCTATTCTAGATCCTAATGTGGATATACAAACATAGTGTTAGAAAAGGAAATGTAGCAAAGTCTCTCTGATTTTATCTGAATTATCTGAATTGAATTTAACAGCATACAAATAGTTTGTATTTTCTAAAATAAGTTTTTTGGTAGGTAACAGGGTGCATTTTTATGTCATGATTCAAGATCTTGGACATTCACAGACTCTCTTTTCCAAGAAGAGTATGCAACCTGCACTGAATTCCAATGACACCCGAGAGGTTAGGCTTGTCTAAATAGATCAGCTGGGTTCACAGGTTGAGCTCTCCGATTCACGGTCAATTAGGAGAAGAAGAGAAGCATTCAGAAAGCCTCTAGAGAGAATGCTGAAAATCTTCAGCACGTCACACATTACAAAACGCACAGCCTTGTCCAGCCAGATACGCTCTGAAAATACACAAGCATCCCAAACCAAACTGCCGAAAAACCTGCTCGTTAATAATGAAGTTGGTAATGATTGCACCAACAGGGGGCAGTGCAAGGGACGAGGGACTGAAATCTGACCGGCCAACTGAGGTTTGACTTCTGAGTAGAAACATACAAGCAGCGGTAGAAGTACCATTGAAGAGAAGCACAGTGCCCATACTCCAGCGCAGACCCTGCCTCAGCAGCTCCTCACACGATGCCGTGCAGTGGCCCAACATGCAGAAGGTTTTGTTGCTGTCGGATGATAAACTGGACTTTCTGGGAAGGGTATAGTCCAGGGAAACCTCGCATTTCCTGCGGAGAGCATTCATTATAAAAAACAAAAAACAAAGGAGAAAATCAACATGTCCAGGATTTTTGCTAGTTCAAAAGAATAACCAACAAAAATCAATGTTTCAGTTCGGCTTCCTCACCAGATGCCACACACCCAGACAACCACACGCCCGTGGATGTTTTTCTTGCCCTCCGGCTGCTGGCTGTAAGTGATGCTGAGGTGCTGCCACTGCCCCCGTCTGATCAACCCCTTACCAGAGTCTGCCTGGGCCAACACGCCTGCTTTTACGTCATCGTTTGGATCAATACAAATCCTGGGAAAAAACACCATAAAGTCGAATCTTAAAGAATCGCACTTTTGACGATGTGAACAGAATTATTATTACTAACAAAAAGCAAGCCCCTTTTTTTAATGCATCATTCAAACTGTGGTTTGAGCAAGAGCTAACCTGAATGTCAGAGATCCTGTAGAGAAGTCTGCCCACACTTGAAGCATCAGTGCTTTGGAGCCCATGGACAGAATATGAATCAGACCTTCCTCTGCTAATGTTGTGACTGCCTGAGACAAGCCATGCTGGGATTCAGCCGCAGGAGGATTACTTTCTTCTGGAAAATAAAAAAACAACAACCTCAATACCATTTCATATTCAAGGTGGTCACGCAAAAGAAGATTGGTGCTGAGCGATTTGCCTCTCACCCTGTGCTTTGCCCCCCTCGTTCTCCTCCTGCTCTGTCACCCTCAGCCACATAGAAGCACTGAAGCCGCTGGCCATATGGGGCCAGCAGTTCTGCCCCATCAGAGGCAGGTGCAGAGGAGCGACGTGCCAGGGTGAAGAGCGGAGGTGGCTCGGTCTGCACTCGGCGTCGCCCTCTCTGTGACCAGGAGACAGTTTTCCCTTCCAGAGCAAACCAACGCTTTTTCCTCCGGTAGCACAGCTCTGTCTGGAGGCAGGGGACAAACCACCCAGCGCTGATGCCCCAAGCATCATTGGAAATGCCATAAAGTGAAGAGGTTCAATATTCATGTTGGCCTCAACTACTTGTAAGATACCTTTCAGCAAAATATCCTGGTAAAAAAAGAAGAAGAAATTCAAAGGTTAGGAGAGGAAACAGCAATTCAACAATAAACCTACAATGGCCTTTTGAATCTCGAATAAATCAGCAACAAAACTTGCAACTGTAAAAACCTACAAGAAAAATAGGACAACAAATAGTTTCTTAAACACAAACCTAACACTGGGCAGCTTTGCAAAGAAAAAACTAAACATTATGTGCAGCAAATGCAAGCGGAAAAATAATCATTCTGACGAGGTTAAAAACTGTTTTGAACACGTCAACTAGAGAGAGCTTATCAATGGTGTCATCTGGTCGATTTCCAATTTAAAGATCGACATGTTCTAATGATCTCAAGCGTCACATTTGCTCTGCACACTTTAGTGCTAATTGTATGTGGTCTGAAGGGGCTCAGGGGAGCATAATGTGTTGGTGATGAATTTAAAAGGAACCAAGAAGTGAGAAGAGAGTGCGACAGGCAGGATGTCACACTGCTAGGGTTTGGTTCCTGTTAATAAACTTGACGTGCAGACTGTGAACATAAGCTTCTGGTGTCTGTATCATGAGCGTGAGCGAACACTGCAATGCTCGGTGACTGATAGGGTTTGCCACTTACAGTAGGTGGGGTCTTCTCCAGGAAGAGGCGGATCAATAGGGCCAGTTCCTCTGCCGTTATTCGCCGGCTCACCATGGCAACCAGCAGCTCCACAAGCACGGTCTGACAATCTGAATGTAGAGCAATAAAGAGCAGGTTGTAGAAATAGTTTTCATTCCCTCTGACATGGCTACTTTCAGCCTGGTACAACAGGTGCATGTAAAGAAAAGATAAAAGCTCTTTCAGCAAGGAAAAGAATACAGGGGGACAATGCATTAACCATATTCAGATCTAAAGGCCATCTGAGACAAGAAATTCAAGACATATCTTTAAATATATATATACAATTAATTTCTTAAGGCAATTAAAACCTTGCAAAAATTCATAATAAGTGTAAAACATTGCTTCTTAAAACTGTGTAATCTGCTTTTCACAGCACCATGATGCCTAACATGATAGACTAAAGTCAGCTGACTTTGTGCAGGTTTTCCAGGACACGGAAAAAAGCAGTTCAACTAGCTGACCCAAAAGACCTAGTTTAAATGTCAGGGGCAGGAAAGAAAAAAAAAGCTCAAAGAACAAAGCTAAATCAACTGATTCAGGGACATTACAATTGAAAAATACTCATTGTCATTTCACACAAGGTTTAAACTAGTCAGGATAAATGACAGACCTGTAAAGGAGGGGTTGGTTTGACTGAGGATTTTATGAAAGCCACATAGGATGGTTTTGACTCCTCCCTGTGAGAAAGGAGAGCAATATGTAAGAAAAAGTAAGGATGAGAAGCAAATGCAGACAAACATGGAAGACAATAAAGAGTCACATGAAGAGAGATAAAGGCCGGTCTGACCTGGTCATACAGCAGGGCAGCATTGCGGCAGTTTGCGTGTACTGCACCCAGGAGGCTGTGAAACACATGACTCAGAACCTCCAGGTCCGGAGAGCCTGATGCAAGAAGCTGCAGTTCCATCGTGCAGATCTCAGGGAACAGCAGCACACCACGCCCGGGCCCGTCCGCCGCCACCGCCGCCGCAAACTCCCGCGACCCGGCTGACTCCACCTTCCCTCCTAATAGAACAACCAACGTCAGCAGGGAAAAAAAATCACAGGCACAATAAAACACCAGCGCAGAGGAGTGGAGACATTAAGTTTGCCACTCTGACTGGTACGCCACGCTCGCTAAGGCATGGACACGGTGTGACAGCATGTGCTGCTTGAGCAGCTTCATCATCCAGGCATTCCCTCCTTCAGCTCCAACCCCCCCGTCTTGGAGGCAGCACATAAAAACGATTCAGCTTCAGAGCAGCCTGGGAGTTCCCTCATGATTTACAGGAGCGCAGCTCTCACACGCCTTCTGGGACCTCCTTTTACTAATGAAGCTTGCTCGCTTCCCTGTGTGCGTGACTCCACAGTTTCTACCATCTAAGACTCACGCACGCAGATATACGTGCAGCTCTCACATTGTAACAGGTTCCTTGAAACTCTCCAAAAGTAAATACTAAAAGACTATATCAGACAATCTACCCTCTGGCCCTGAAGAGCATGTTGTGCAGAAGCTTATGTTTGGTCTGCGGTTAAATTAAGGCGAGCAACCTCCTACTTTCCAAGATTTTTTAGAAACAGCTATTTACACCATTTAAAATGAGCAGATGAAAACCAATAAGAGGTGCTGGAAGTGTAAATGATGTTGAAAAATCAGGAAATGTAACGAAATAGAAGCTACTGGGGAAAGAAAATCTTATACTGGACAAAGAGCAAATGTAAAGAGAGAGAAATTCCAGAATTCATAGCTCATGGCTACGAGCTGTCTGCAACATGTTGATATAGCTACAACCCTCTTGACATTTTATATTTTGCGTATATCAAGCATCCAAATGTAGATCATTAAATGATGTATCTAAAATATCCTCACTTGTTGGAAATTAGTCAGTGGAAACAGCAAAACACACTGTTCTATGAGAAAATGCTTGTCATAACTGAAACTTGCTGTACTGGGTTTGAATTCAGAGAGAAAGAAAGAAAAGACAAGAGATTAAAAAGAGCAGTGGCATTGACGGAACCAATTAGCTTATATGTTCAGCGTGAGCTCAAAAAGAGAGATTATTTATTTCCAATGATGCGAGAGGTTTCCAGGAAGTTAAAAAACACCATTTCACTGGGACTTTGAGTCACAAGACCCAGCTTATGAGGCCACAGAGTCTCGCTGCTCGCAGTTGTAAAACATTAAACAATGACTCTATTCTGAGTGGATTAAAGTAAAAACAGTGTAATCAGGTCATGTCTTTTACCTGAAATACTAACATGAGAGGCTCGGGACCATTTTGTGCTGTGTCACACATACGCAATAAACACTAACCACATCTTATTGCCAAATATCCTCCAAAAACTACCAAAAGAGGATGTTGTTTCTGACACGACATAAACATTCCGTGCATGAACACTGTACAGCAATATGCCCATGACAAGTGATATTAAAGTCATGCTACTTAACATGAAACCCAACAAACAGTTATTTAACAGACTGTTACATTATTTGAACAGCACGAGAAGCAGCATTTCCCAGGACCTAAAATCAACATGTCCAGAGTTTAAAACCAGCACATGACCACTCAATTCATCAAATTTAGCACACAAAAACAAGAGAATGTGAATTAAACAAGATTTACAGCATTCTAAAGATATCCTCGGCATGGAAAAATGGGTCTGCGATGGAAAGTCACAAGATTTATAGGTGAAGTTAACTATGTAAGCAACAGGTCGACCAGTCAGTGTGTGTGTGTGCGCTCTGTGTGTGTGTGTGTGTGTGTGTGTGTGTGTGTGTGCGTGTGTTGGGTGGCGAAAGGCATGGACCTACCCTCTTCCTGCTTAGCCATGGTCTCGGGGTTGCTTTCACTGTCAGCGTCGTAGCCCTCCTCCTCCCCCGGGAGTTTGACGCTACAGCTCTGCACCTCATCCACCTCCTCAGACAGATCGCCTGCTGGGGCCACCCCCTCCACCAGTACCTGGAGTTTCTAGGGAGGCGAGAAGTAATCAATTTCAATCAGGCATTTCAAATACAAACACAATAAGATCCACCCCCTTGTAAGTAGCTGGCGAGATAAGATTAAATTAGCATGAGCTTACCCAATCCTGTGTATATACATATACTATTCAAGATGATTTTTCATGCTCAAAAATAGTCAGCATGACAACCAGTGGACTTTCCACTAATGTAGGGAATAAAGGAAGGGAAAAGAAGTACAAGATTTTGGTCATAAGACAAATATCAGCTGACCTGCACAGCATTAACAGAGCCCAGTTTCTTTGCAGTTTACAGTCAGACATCATATGCGCATGTGGACCAACAGCCCTCGCCGTAAATTAGTTCTGTGGTTCAGAGACTCATTGTAGTAGTCGTAGACGGCCATTTGAAAGAAATGTTGAGTTCAGTCAACAGACTTTGTAAAGGAAGGCTTGTCTTAGAGCTTCACAGCACAAACTGGGAATCACTGAGTGAACATCACACTCTGCTGGGCTCTTAGGAAACAGTTAAATCTATTAAACAAAATGCTAAGCCCTCCAGCTCTTTAAAGCATGGTCGGAGAGGCATTTTAAGACTGGAGCAAAGTCTAAAAATCTAAGGCTGTAAGTAAGGTGGAGCCATGAGGCAGATAGTCTTTCAGTAGGAACAACCGGGATAGAACTGAAACTCTCTTTTCTGGGTTCCTCCTATCCCTGCAACAAATAAATGTAGCAGCATGCCAGGTGAGAACTGCATATGGCTTTGTGAATCTTCCAATAATGCCGAAGAAAGCCTGCAGTGATAAGTGTGGTAAGGATTTTCTTTAATATCCATAGTGTCTTGGTGAGAAACTGTCCGTATGCGTGAGCATCACAGATTAAATAAACCTTCCTCATGCTTGTATGCACTGCTTGCTTTTCACAGGGGTTATCATTATTTAGGTCTGCTGTTATATTGTCCAACAGGCCGATAACGGCTGCTTAGCAACATGGTGTGAATGCTTTACATAGCCGCCCTGATGTTTGACAAAACCATCCTCTTGGCAGGCACAGTGGTAGATGCGTTAATAACGCTGGTTCACATATGAGAAAAAACGAGATCACACAGCCTGTTAATAATCGTGTGATTCTTTGTCGCTGTCTGCTGACAGCCGACATCTCTGCTGATATAAAAGAGGCAGCAGCAAGAGAAGAAACAGAGACACAAGTCAAAATAACAAAGACCCTAATACTAACCTTTCCCTAATGGAATTCCATCAGACATACATTTTATGTTTTTTTTTTTTTTTTAAAGAACTATGATGCTCAGACCTTTAACCCCTATACTTGGCTGCTACAGAAAACAATAGAAGCGACAGGAAAAAGATGTACCTAAGCTTCCTAGTCAGAACACTACAGACTGAATGTGGTTGGCAACTTCCAGCTTCAGACCACCTGCATGCGGCTCAAAGCATTACATTCATTTTCATTAAACCGACAGCAGCTTCAGGTCTGAATATACACCCTGGTCACTAACAAACAAAAGCATCACATTCATTTTAGTGGTGTGTGTGTGTGTGTGTGTGTGTGTGTGTGTGTGTGTGTGTGTGTGTGTGTGTGTGTGTGTGTGCATGTGTGTGCGTGTGTGTGTGGGCTCTTTGAGGGGATTTAATAAGATCTATTAGTCTGTACTTGAAATACAATGAAACCTTCTTGAGAAAGAACACTGTTATTTCTACATTTATAAGTAGCATGCCTGAATGAGCTTCTTAAAATAATTTCCTTCTACAAGTAGAGCATTTATCCTTCATGATTTGAAAGACTAAAACATTTTCATAGCATCAGGTAAAAATAAATTGGTTCCTTTTTTTGCTCGCAGTCAAAACATCCATGTAAGATGATAATATCTCTAGACGCGTGATTGTGTTAAAAAAAGAAGCTATTTCCAATCCTGTAAGGTTTGCACTTGAATGTTATGTTCTTAGTGATGGCACGTTGAGCAGAAGCTGATAAAAGCTCGTGACTGCAGAGCAATCTGTCCGGAATGGAAGCTGATTAAACATTTTTCCACTGCACTTCTTATCAGCCAGATGTTAAAACATGCTTTTTTTATATATATATATATATACACACACACAGACGCACACACACTTTAGCAGAGACATTTTCTCTTCAGCTGTTCTTAGCCACCACTTGTATGCACTAACAAACACAGAGCACAAGCACCAACTGTCACTGCAGCATGACCTCATTCATTGCAGCTCACGTCATGTCTGCCCCATTCCAACTTAAAAATGCTAATCCGATCCTGTCGCCATCTCTATCGCTGCGAGCAGCATTAAATCACAGTAAAAAAACGTTGGTATAAAACAATCCCACCACTAATTCCATGAATAAATATGGTTACAGCTCAATAGCGTTCCGTTGGTGCCCGAGCGTGGTCAGTTCTGACATTTTATTACATAAGTAAGAGGCAGAAAAAAGCACAAAGTACTTTATCATGTAACAAAATTAGATTTTTGCACTTAAATAATGTGCCCACACTGTTAAAAAAAAAAACTGTATAAAAACATAAGTGAGCTGTACTTGTAGCAACCGAAAGGTAGGACTCACCCTGTCTTGCTTCTCCTCTGGAGGATCAGGACAAGACAAAACCTCCGCTAGGGCCACTCTAAGGAGAGAGTCAAACAGGGGTATGGCGAGGTCAGAGTTCACCACCCCCGAGCGAGCCAGCTGGTCCCTCACCTCAAACAGAGTTTCCTCAACCGACTGGAGCTGTAAGAACATTTAGATGAATCCATTTAACTGCTGCATGGTAAATGTATTCATTTAGGGTTGATGAAAACCTAAGCTAGTTAACATACCTGATGAGAAAGCTCTGGCTCTATTCTCTGCAGGGCTGAGTTGGCACTGTGCAGACAGATAGCCAGCAAAGCCTCAAGGAGTCGAATACTTTGTAACTGCCACTCTTCCTCAAGCCTCTTTGCGGGATCTTTGGTTTTTCCCTCACTTGAGCTGGTGCCGTGGATGTCGGTCTCCTCCAGTCCCAGAGAGGGTTGACTGTGTGATTCGGGGCTTCCTTTGCCTTTACCATCTCTCTTCTTCTTTGCTTTTCCATCCTTGGTCTTACAAGAGAGCTTCTGAATAACCATGGCCATAAGACGCAAGCACACATCCAGTCCTCCTAGCCTGAAAAACTGCCTCTGGAAAAGCGGGCTGGCCATGTAGACCCACCGGCACACTGACCAGACATCGGCGGCGCGCTGTAACTGCTCTTTGGAGGGCAAGGCCACGCTGTCTGGGGACAGATAGGGCAGGCGTCCACCTAGGGGTTCACTTGCAGTGCTGTCATAACCTGAAGTGTCCTCTGAGTCATTGGCTGAGTCCCGGTCAGAATCAGCCTCCTTGCTGACGCACAGGAAGGCCAGACACAGGAACAGGTTGATGACATGAAGGTGAGTCTCTGTTCGGCTGCGTGTGGGTCCACGCGCATGCCCACTCCGGCTCTTGTGATGTGGGTATGCGTCCTTCAGGCCTTCGTAGAACTTGGTGAGGCTCTGTGGTCCCTCTCCGACCCCCCTGCACCCCAAGTCCTCGGCCAGGCCTAAGACAGCTTCCCTTTCTTCAGCATCTGCACTTTCCAGCTCTTGAAGAATCCCATCAGCTTGTTGATGGCGGATGCCTATGATTAGAGTTTCAAACACCTTCAAAGCCAAAGAACGGGTCTGGTCCAGGTAGACGAGCTCTGTAACCTGGTTAAGTCCATTACAACTGATGAAAAGGTCTCTGATCACCCTGCAACACAAATGAATAAAAACCTCAGCAAATGAATGAGCAAAGCAGAAACAAATGCAAATTAATAAAGCCCAGTGAACACCCAGCCTGCCATCAATTTGGTTATAAAAGAAAAAAGAAACAGCCTTTAGGAAGGATGTGGCTCTAAATGTATCACCACTTCTCATGATAAAAAAATGACGCAACAGTTGAAGTTCACAGAGAAAGAAGATTTTCCAGCAATTATATGGTATCCCTTAGTCTAATCTGAGCAGCCATGGAATCAGCCAAAAGTAAATCTTATGTCTTCTCATAGGAGCCGTCACACTTCCTCCATCATTACATTTCTTCCTCGCAAAAATGATTTCTTAATGTCTTGTCTAGTAATTTACCATCTAATAAAATAGAAAATTATAATTTGTATTCATGCCGGGACTGCAAATGAGTATACGAATATGCACATATGCTCATTTCAAGTGCAGTTTTCTGACACATCACTGAACTGAGACTTTTTTTGTCCTACACATGACTGAGGTAGAGGTAAATCGTACTACTACAACACGATAAAATGAATGAAAAAAATGAGCCACCTCTGATTGAATATTAAGCAAACGACAGTGTTGAGATGCTTGCATTACAGATTGATAATATACATTAAAACTTTAAATCAATTGTCAGCATTGAATACAAACTGAAGCAGATGTTCAGAGGAGATTTGAGTTAAGTGCATGAATTTAAATAGATAAAACCGAATAGATTATTAGCTTCTTGACATTTTTTCCCAATCCTCCAGCCTTCCTCCAAATTAATCTAGACTTGGTGATCAGTGGTGTGAATCATGACTACTTAGAATTAAAGGCCCCCCTTACTCAGTGCTGATTAGAAAAAATGTAAAAATAAGTTGAAACACTTTTACATTTTTATTTTTCATTTAGCTGTAGAAGTAGCACCCAAAGTGTCAGAGCGTGAAGAGATTCTGTGTTTTAGGTTGTCTCTGAGCAACAGATTCCCCTGTTGGTCTGCTCATACACCCCCTGAAGTAAACCCTTAATGTAAACTAGTACATCCATTCAGACCACCTAAACATTACAGTCCAGCCCACAAATCAACTGCTGTCATTCAAGTCAATAATGTTTTTGAATTTGAGTCACAAAGCTTTAATAAATTATTCATGAGCATCAATAAGCAATGGCCAAGAGGGAGAGCTCTGATGACACACAACATCCAGGCAGATGAGGTATTTCTCTTTGAGCTCTTCATTTTGTTTCAAGTGATTGCACTAAATAATGAAAATACAATGCTCACGCAATAAATGTTCAAAGTTTCTTCTGTGCCACTATGCAGTAACAAATGTTTTAGTTCTGTGGTGGATGAGCGGTGGTAAAAAAAAAAAAACATACACAGGGACATCTAGGATTGAAGAGAATTCTAAACCTAATGGGAATAACAGCTTACCTTGACTTTAGGAGTGCAGGTAACGTTTGCAGGTAGACGAGCAGAACCTCCACTGGCAGGCACTGGGAGTGATAGCTGCAGACCTGAGTGCAGACTGTGGAAACCCCCAGCTGCTGGGCATGGTGTGCCAGCTCTACCCCTCTCTGCAGCACGGGGTTGAAGATGTGTGTGTACAGCTTGCACTGCACAATAGCATTGCCCCGCAACGTCAGGTGGCACACATGGCCGGCTACCTGCTGGCTCAGCTGCCAGTCCTCACCAAACACTAGCTCTTGGTAGGCCTCCAGAGCGTCCCACTTCCACAGCATGTCCTCGGTTCCACCTCCACTTGGCAGTATACCCTGGGAGCGGTAACACAAACTGGTCGAAACAGTTGAAGTTTCCCCTTGCTGCAGTGTCTCTTCCAGGCCGGGCAGCTGGCTGCTGTCCAGAGTGCAGATATTACAGGAGGCCAGTTTGGCTTTCTCCGATGGCTGGCCCCCGCCAAGCTGGTCTAGGATCAGCCTGCCTAGCACGCTGAGTACATGAGACTGGTAATTGCGCAGCCCTGGAGCCTGAAAAGCGTGTAGAAGGGGTCCTACAACCGAACGAGGGTCCATGCAGCAGCAGATCCCCACAGCCTGAACCCCAGCCAAGACCTGCAGCACGGCCGGCCCGCTGGGCGACAGCCGCTGCAGGAGCCGCAGACACTGGTGGGCGCAGGCGGCCAGGCAGCAGCAGCGCTCAGGGTAGCGGACTACATCTCCCTCAACTCCCTCCGCGCCTTCTCCGTCCTCTTCAAAGGGGTTTCTTCTCACGCCCTGCTTGAAAGCAGAGACGGGCAAACCCGACAGGTCTCTGTGGTGGTGAAGGAAGTGGGAATATTCACAGCGACGGTGGCGGCGGCGAGCGCAAACTGACTGATGCAGCTGCTCTGACTTGGCCTTCTTGACAGCACTGATGATCTTGAAGATGCCTGCAATTAGACTGCGCAGCCGCTCTGCAGCCTCTCCCCCGACTTCAGAGTCCTTCGCCCTACCAAGACCTTCCAGTCGAAGAGCTGTGGCCTCAAAGAGCCCAAGTCCACCGTGCTGCACAAATTCATGGATAAGCTCTAAGGCCTGGCTGAAGAAGAAGGGGTTGGATGTGGACGCCTGGAGGCAACTCAAAAGTACTTGCAAGACTCCCTCTAAAAGTTCCGGAAGCAACAGCGCTCTGTGGCGATAACGGGAGAAAGAGAAGTCCTCCTGAACCTCCTGCAAAGTCTTTTTGGGACGAGGAGCAAAAGGGTCACTCTGTCTGTCCAGGCAGCTCCTGATTTTGAGGGTGGATCTCAGTAAGTCTGTCAGACTGCGTCTCAGGCTGTCCGGGAGTCGGTCATTTTGACTCACATCCACTGACATCAGGTGCAAGATGGTGCGTAGCAGCATTCTCTGAACGAGTGCTATCGGCTCCTCCGTCCAGCCTCCAGCAAGCTCCTCTGCCCCCGTCACACTGCCACCTCCACCCCCTGGACCACAGCAATCTCCAAACTCAGTTAGGATCTCTGTGAGCGTGGGCACCACACTGACAGCCAGGCCAGGGTTGTGGTTAATGCTCATGTCAAACTTACACACCTTTTCCAGCAGGGACAGCAGCACATGGCAGAGATCAAAGGGGGAATTCTCCATGCGGTTGAAGATTGAAATTGCTGCTGGGTCCGTCAGGGTGTCATTGTCGACCATCTGGTACCCAGAGGTTCTGGGATGGGGGTATGGAGCACTCATTGTTTCTGTGTTGGTGGCAGTGGAGGTTAACTGTGAGGCCTCTGAGCGATGATGCTGGCAGCTTACCTGGATGGTGGAGCCATGAGATCTTCGGCTCCGGGCTCCACCCGAGCCTGAGACAACTCTGTCTTCGGAGTTAGCCTCCGAATCTGACGTGGAAATCTGGGACTTGCGGGCATCTTTTACAGAGTATCTCTGCGCTGTTCTGCGCGATCTCCGTGACTTCCAGGTGCCACTCCCAACACGGGACCTCTTCCCAGAGCTCTGCTCATCTGTCACAGCCTTCTGTCCTGCTCTTAGAGGGACGGCTCTCACCTCCCGACTAAGGAATACCTCCAGTAGAGACGGCAGGGTGAAATCTGCCAGCACACAGAAAAACATGACACATTTAACTGTTTTGTAGAAATACACAGAACAAGTTAATTGCAAGGTGAAATAATGTTACATAAAAGTTTAATTGTGCCACTTTTTAATATGAGAGAGTTGGTGTCATTTCACTTTATATCTAATAACTACTGTTCTAGTAATGAGGACCATGAAAATCTGCAGTTCAAAGCTTTTTTTCTTCAAACAATCATTACGCAAAAATTAATTAATGGAAAAATGTCTCGGCTCCTTGTAAGAAAGGATCAGCAGCACTGTACTAAATGCCGAAGTCACTGTGGGGTCACAAGCCTCTGTAACTGCTGCCGTCTCTGTTCACTCCAATATATAATAAGTGGTCAAATCCGTTCAACTGTTGCAAATCAGCGCATTGCACTATGAAGGCAGTTTCATTAGTAAATATGTCATTTGACGAGCACATCACAAACGAATGTGGACACAAGCCAATGAACTCTTCAACCTGAAAGCTGAAACACGGCTTAGGAAGCCTTAGGCAACAGAAAGTAAAAGGAGGAAATGAACAACTAAACTAACATCACAACAATCATGCACACTAATATTATGCCAAAAAACTGAAGTTAGTTGATTGAGAAATACATACACTAACAAGTAGTCACATGGGGATGGGGGGGTAAGGCACGCAGGGACAACGTTTTTAAAACTATAGATGATTAGGTGCAAATAATACAGGAAGAATTGTTGATACTAACCTGGAGCTTTTTCCTCTTGCACGGGAATCTTCCAGACCAGCGGGAGTAAAGACAGCAGCAAAGTGAGCAGCTCTTCCCGACATGTAAGCTCCTGAAAGTCCAACAAAACACACTGGGTTACCTCCAAAGCCTCGCCTCACTCGTCGCTTTTGGTCACACTCTGTCGTCACATCGGTCACGCCCACTCTCATCAGTCCTTGAATGTCCACTTACGTTTTTTCTTATTTCCATCCATGTATGATTTTAACTGCATCTGAATTTGAACATGTTTTTCAGCTTTTTTTTTTTAGCGGCCAACTGTTTATTTTTTATTCACACCTAATCAGTTTGGTGAAAATGTGACAGGGTGCCACTTAGCGGCTATGTGACAGACGTACTTCCGAGACTTTTGGGATCTCATGTGTAGCCAGGGCATTCCTCCTTCAAGTGTTAATTAAAATATGATCTACCTTGACCTTTTGTAAAGCATAAGAAGGTGCAGTGGAATGTACAAAACGAAGGAACAGGAGATTAAATTCAGCCTGAAATTTTCTTTATATTTTTATCATACACAAAATCTTTTTTTAAGAAAGGAAACACATGATACTTCCCTTAGATTGAAAATTGACTTTTTTGTGTATGTGTGATTTACATAAACGACACACCACAGAAAAGCCTCTGACTGCCACAATATTAATGAAGACATGTCCTTTCCTTAATGTGCAAATCAGGAATATTAAGTTTGGAAGAGCTGAAAAAAGTCCACATTACTAAACGCAATGCTTTACTGTGCATTAAATAATTAAATTCAGCAGAATTCCCTCAATGATCACTTTGTGATCACTGTTTTAAAGTTTGACGGTTGGTTCTTTTTCATTTTCTTTTGGTTGTCACTATCCTGATGAAACTTAGACTTGGAGGAATTGACAGCACCATTAATTATTTAATGTTCATTTACTATTGCCATCATCAGCAATGAGGAAATGAGCCACTTCCTGTGAGTTTGGCAGATTTTATGGTTCAGCCCATGCTATTGGCTGACTAAGCCTGTCTTATGAGTGACCGATCTAATACAATGCGTCATTCTCTTCACTAGATATCAGATTTATTTCTTTGGTAATTAAGACACTTCCTTTACTATATGACTACTCATTACAGATGTTTTTAGGATTAGCCATAATAATTCTGGTTATGGTGAACTCTTAAATGCCAGTTGCTATCATTTATTGGTTTAATCCCATTAAGTCGACAATTCCACACACATTGACACAAAATCTCTCGAACAACCAGAAACAAAACGAGGGCAACGCTCTTAGGAAGGATCAAACAACTCGCTGGGAAAATCATACCTTAAAATAAACACTTGGCCTTAGATTTAAATAAGAATTTACGATGCACAAGTTCTTTATCAAGTGTCTCTGATTGTCATTACAGGCTTGAGTCCTTCCAGAACACGGCTGATGCACGCAGCCAGAGCTTGTGATAAGAATTTGCACATGACTGCATTAAAAGCTTGTGCAAAACGCTCCCATTAAAACAACAAGTGTGAAACTGGCAAAAAGACATGAACGCCACAAGGTCGTCAGGGCTCAAACACACGGGGTTCCGTTTGGTGTAGAACAATATTTCCCTCTGTAGTCTCAGAGGAAGCCGGTTGACATGACAATGAAAATGACAACTGGAATCAGCTGACAGAGTCAACCAAACCTGCTTCTGAGAAGTCATTCAGCTCATAACTGAAAAACCAAACAGAGGACTCCCTACAAACTGTCTGAGAGTGCACTAACTAAACAGAGATGAGACCGTTTGCAATCTCAGTGTATTGAACTGCTCCCAGTACTGTGCAAACCCTAGAGCAGAGAGGACAAAACTGACATTTCTAATCATTGACATAGATGATACATATCATACATTCTGAGAGGTTTATAGGAAGCTGAGACCTTTATGTATTAAAGTTTACCGTTTTCTCCTAATGTTTCGGAGTTTAGAATATGTGTTCTGAACTCTATCTGAATTAGTAGAAATCATTTAACTTCTGTAAGGGAAGAATGTTCCTTAAATATGCAGCATGCTTCACTAAATGACAGCTTGTTTGTTTATTAAATGATACAGACATCAAATCAGTGCACAGCTTATGATTCTCCATCGGTTTTTATAAGTCTCTGATCTTGAAATATTCCTTTGAACTCAGCGGCTGCTATGCGATGTTGGAATTTGTTGCTTTAATCTTGTGTTTTCATTTCACTGCATCCCTGTCCATCTGCAGTTACCGTTTGATGAGAAAGTTACGTTCAGGCAGAGGTTCTAAAGAATACACAATTTGTCATGCAGATGCACGCCAGCATGAAAAAGCATGGTCAATTATTTATGGTGTGAAGCTGAATCCGAATGAATTCATAAACATTTAAGACTGAAACCTGTCTGTGGGATTGCATCTTTTTAGTGTGACGCCGCATGTGTTCTTTTTAAACTGAACATCGGCCTCGATTCCTACGGCTCTCTGGTGATTTGTTAGACAATTTGTCTTTAACTAAACCGAACACTAAACCAAACAAAGCCCATCTTCAGTGGATAAGATTGATACTGGTAGTTGAGTCTTACCTGGTCAATGATTGAGTCCAGGGTGCTGAGCAACAGGAACCCCCGTCCCCTGACCAGGTACTCGCCAAGAGCCACCATGTGACTCTCCTCCTCATCTTCCCGCGCTTCAGCTCTCTGAGCCACGGCACTGCATAGTTGATGTACATCGGTAAGGAACTCTCTCGCCAGTGTGTTACTGGCCCCACTCATGTCTGAGCTGTAACAAAGGACATAAACATGACAATGATCTACATTTTGTATGTGCAAACATACTTTAAGTCACTTAGAGGCATTAGGATGCTGCAGAACTCTAAATAAAATCTATTGCGAATAGAAATTAAACACATGTATGTGCCGTTTCATGTTGAGATGAGCTGGATTTTGTAACACATTTTATATTAATTGAACTAATGTGAAAGAACAGCAGTTTCATTACATTGAGTTAATTATGCAGTCCGGACATCAACACCACCAAAACAGCAGTGGGATGAAAGATCAACAACCAATGACAACTCCCCAGAAAAATGTGCTGATAACAGTGAGGTAGGTGTAAACACACGGGACAACTCGACTGTGAAAACAAATGACCGTTCAGAGCGTGCGCGTGTCTTGAATATAAAATCGAAAAAGCACTGGACTCATTTTATGGAGCGGCTCAGAGCTGGTGCAACAGCCACGTGCTCCCCAACAAAAACTGAACATGCCAACAAAGGACACACACCTGACACTTCTTTCTACCACATCACAGAACTGTTCCTGCTGCATTTCATTCAAGCCACAAAGAACTCAAGACGAGGGTTAAGGACCGAACTGGAATCGGACAGAAGAAAAATGACGCCTGTCAAAGTTTACGTTACTGCTACCCCTCTGACGGACGCCAACGCACAGCACCATAATTCAACACACAAAGGATGTCTGACTTAATCAAACTGACAGCAAGTCTATTTCCTGACACCACCCTCTATAAGATAAACGCATAGAGTCCTCATTATCTTACCAAATGTTATCGGGCAAAACACTTTCCTTGTAGGCATCTTGTGTATGCTCCAAACTTGACTTCAGTTCTGCTAGCTGGATCTGCATACTTCCTCACATGACTGCTGACTGAATTCTCTGTTCTGCAGCATAAATTCCATTAAATTGGAATTTCAAATGGAAGCTTTCCAGATTCACAGCAGATCAGCGTATCACATGAAAGCATGTGATGTCACATGGCGAGAGGACTGGTCTTGGGAATACAGATGAGCACCCAGTGCCCTGAGAAAGACCTCTGTCAGGAACCGTCATTCACAGTCACTGCCTTTGTGTTCGCAACTACAACAAGAGGAAGCTTCCTTTAATGGAAAAAGACCCATTAGCAAAGAGTGGAAAAGGAGGCAAAAACAGAAACTACCAAAATCAACGTTTTGATGCTTTCATCTTCATAAATTGATCTTCTGTGGCCTTAAATTGAAAAATCATATCAAATTAATTATATTCTTCTATTATTTCTACATACTCTTCTTGTCTTATCAAGGTCACCCAACTTCTACAAAACATGTATTATATTAAAGAGAAAAACAGTTGTGTAAAAATAGCAGCTCAGCTTTTTATAACTCATCTGTTTATTGGCTAATAATAATATAATAATAAGACCCCGCATGGCTTCAAAGAAGAAATTCATTTAAAGTCTTTTGTTAAATAGGATCCACAAATGTAAAGTCTGTAGTGCATTTTCTCATCAAAAAGATACTTTATGTTCTTTGTCAGAGCTGCTGGGAAACAAAGGACACAGGGGTATATATTCAACAGCAGAGGGGGACATCATTTTCTTTGGCACTGCCCAAACAGAGAAGGTGAGAATGAGAAAGATTGGGGGACAACATAAAGTTGTTGGAGGGAAAGATAAGAAAACAGCCAAGATAAATAGGTGCTAACGTTCCAGTCCAATCTTCAGTTTCAGATTGGGGTTCAAATAAAGGTGTTTTTCTGACTTATTGTAGAAGGTAGCAGAGTACACCTCAGCTCCACCGGCTGCTGTCTTACATCAGCCGTGCCGTAAGAGTTTCACAAAGGGTTGGTGGCAGAGCTTCATTCAACAAACTGACACCTAAACTTTAACAGCTTGGCTGGATACTGCAATCTCAAATCACCTACTAGAGGAGACTGGAGGACACTCCAGATGAAGAGATTCTTTTCTGAAAGCTACCGACAGAACAAAACAAAACAAAAAACAAGCGGATTTCAGTGAGTGAGAGGAAGTGAATCATTCTGGATGTCATCTGGAGCTGAGGACTGACCTTGCCACCACACACAACATGCGAGGCAAAAAACTGCAAGCTATTCTCTCAGACCAGACCAACGCTGGCTTTGCTACAGACACCCAGACTTCTGATAAGTGCTCGATGCCACCGATAAGCCTCACAGCGTGCCGGATTGATTCCTCCTTTTATCAAATTGTCAAATTCTATTTCATGGATCTAATACAGCAAGCTGCCTTTTCACGTCATTCATCGCGACAACGCAAGAAGCTATGACAAAGGCGGGCTGCAATGTGCACGATTCAGTCACAAAAGGAGGCTAATGGGGAGGAAGACGGCTGATAAGTTGGAGCACTCGGCATGTGTCTCCACATCAGAGAGACAACCAAAGAGATATGAGAATATCAGGCGTCTGCCAAGTGTTAGCTTTGTATTGGCAGACCCTCAGTTTGAAATGGCTCTAATCGATATCAGGGTTCTGGACTTTTCAAGCTCTGAGGAAAAAAGAAAAAAATAAATAATACAAATAACATTAAGAATAAACACAATCCAGTAGCTGTCACATCTGACCATGAAAGGGAGTGACAAGAAACCTGTTTTACTGCTATCACAACACCCAACGGATGGAGATCTGAAGCTGAGGCATGCAGAGATAATGCATGTGTAGTTTGGTCACATGATACCTGAAAGTCACCTTCCCATAGACCTCAATCTTCTATATGCTTTTCTATATGCTTCTTCTCTAATGCTTTAAAAATTATGCTGTGACCAAATGTTTAGCTACACAGAGAGGCCTCTTCATAAAATGATAATTCTGCTCAAGTTTATGGGAGACAAAGTGAATGTCCTTATCCAGCCAGTCGGCGCGGCCACATTCCACAGACCAGCTCACAATATGGGTGATTTACACAATATCATAAAATATAATGCAGTTTGGTGAGTACTTCTCAGAGCCACAAAAAAACAAGCATTGATCACATGGCAGAGGTGAAGCCAACAGTCCATGCTGCCTCTCCACCTGTGGTGGCTAAGACTTAGTCTTTATGAGACCGTGAATTTTCTGTAGAAAATTGATTACTTTAATATGTTATTAAGTCTGACGCGCTCCAAAAACATACAGCCAATATACTGCGACTACACTATGCAGAGCTTTGAAATGTGTTAAATCAAGTGGGGCCCAACATCATAAAACACAATGTAGAAGGTTGTTTTTGTTTTCCCCGGACAGCGTTCCCCGTTGTTCAACTATTAAAGCCATTATTCTTTTTGATTACTTCATCAGCTTTCGCCCCTAAGCCCTTTCATCACAACCACAAGACACTGATTAGTGACTTAGTAAACAGAGATAATGGTTCCCATGCAAAACACATCACTCCGTTTCAGTTCCTTAAATTTTGGGTTAGTTGTTGTGAGACTCTTAGCTTGCTGCATTGGCTGTCAGAGCATTCAACTCTGTCCCTCTAACTTAGGGTAAAGAATCTGAATCAGAATGACTTTATTAATCCCTTTTTATTAATTATTTTTATTATTACTCGTTAATCCCTTGCAGGAAATTCAAAAAGTATTGGATATTAGTCAAAGATAGGCCAGAGTCAGCACTGGCCCGCCCATGTGAGAGGGGTTGTTTGAACCTAGATTCCTGTGTACAACGCGTAGTCAATGGAAAGTCAGGAGCTACGATGATGTCATGGAGACAAACATGGTTTACCCACTGTGTACATCTGCTTCTACAACAAACAATACAATAGTGTGCACACACAACGCAGACGGAAAATCCACTATGAATAGTTGACAGGATGAGCTGGACTGGAATTGTATGCGTGCCCTTGTTTTTCCTCCATCATGTATTCATATTCTTATTCATTGTTGGTACTAGATTAATCAGTATCTGTCTTAGTCCAACATCATGCTGCCCGTCTCCCAATTTACAACAAACATAAAGCTGGCGATCTATACGTGCACTTCACTGCACTTATTGTTCGATTGTGAGAGCAAAATGAGCCTTCCTTAAATCATTTTGGGTTTTTTAACATCCCAATGCAAACTGATGTTAACACAGCTTGCCAGTTGCAGGTTTGAGTGTGTGATTGCTGTTGAGATTCGTGGAAAAAAAAAGAAAGAAACAGGCAAGAGGTTCCAAATGCCCAAATCTTTTCTGCAGCAACAGCGGTGTGCTGGTTTGTGCTGACTTCGAGGCAGGAGTGTTTTCCGTCCAAATCTCCTGTTCTGCAGAGTTAGCATGTTCCCTCAGAACTCTGGCTTCCTCCCACAGTCCAGTAACATGGATATTAGGCTGCCTACTGATTATAACCTGGTTGTACCTCTTAAGTGTGTCTGCGTTAGCCTCGTGATGAACTAGAATTAGTTTCACATGTATGTCCCTCAATGTATGCATTTTAAAGGCAACCTCGTGTAAACGGGTATTGACCTTCATATTTTATGTTGAAAGAAGCGCTGCAGACCTGTTGAAGAAATACTCTTTCTGTGTGACAGCCTGTGATGCTCCTGTGTGCTGGACGTAATCACATCAGGAATGTTTCAGCCACACCGAGACAAGATCTCTCTTGTAAAGCGTATAAAATGTTAACACAATGAGCGAACCTTACCAGAATTTCAGTCCATCTTTGGTGCCGTGATTGGGGCTGTGCTGCACATAATGAAAGAGACAGAGGAAATTCTCCAGACTCTGAAGGCTGACCTGATAAGAGACACAGAAACGAGAAACAAGAATTTCAGTGTGATTATCGAGCATGCTAAAAATGAAGAGGATCGGAAATGAGTGATGCCCACATTTCCTTTTCTCTTTAACACCCACTATGATGAACCCGTCGAAGACTTTTGGCTTCAGAACAGCTTTAACTGATGGTAAGGACAATAAAAAGAGGGTGTGATATCTAATGTGTCAAATCTTTGCTCCATAATGATTTTTTGGGGTTATGTGAGGCCAAAAGTCTCGTTACGCATTTCTGATCTAGGAATCTCTCAAAACAACACAAATGGCTAGGAGAGATAAAAGGACTGCATTCAGAAATCCTGTCTGAGGGAACAAGGACCATACAAAGATGTAAACAGCCTGGCCTCAGAGCTGGATTATCATACCAGAGCTTGCGAGGCGACTGGGTCTTTCTTAACCATGAGCCAAGCCACCGGCTTCACATAACCACATTACCAGCTCCAGGGTAGTGTGTTAATACCTTCGCGACACACGTGAGAGCCTGTAAGCCGGCGGGCTGCTGTCGCTCACACACCGCAGCAGCTACCTTTACACTTGCTAATTGGACACCGCTGAAAAGATTCATTCTGGCGACACTGATCCCTGACTGATGTGGCTGTCCTTGGCGCCTGGGTCACAGAGCCAAACACTGATACAATACAGAAAGCCCACAGTAAACCATCAAATATTTAGCCAATAGTTTAATCTGAGTAGGGACATCTCAATTAGTTCAGGAAAACACCAAAGTAGTTTCAGCTGTTCTTGATACATGAGAAAAACCCTAAATCTTAAATAGTCTAAATTCCAATTAACAGACCTTGATCAATACAGTTGGGGATATAAAACTTCTTTATAACCATCAACACACTGGTTGCACTGAATGTGCACCAACCCATTAACACATGATGTTACTTTTACAATGGCCATCTTCACACCACCCCACCACACACAAACAGTGTCATGTGCGATCTGTGTTGGGAGTGTAACAGAAAAAAAGTTGCACAACATTCATATGTTTGATTAATTGGAAAAAAAACAAAACAAAAAAAAAAACAGGATGACTTTACACAAATTGAATGCAAGTTTTGAAATGCCACAAAGAGAAAGGATGTGGAGCGACCCGGGAGGTCTGTTTGATTAAGAGATCCTAAAGATAACTATGAACTTCCTGTTATGATTATCATTTACTCTGTGGAGATGTTGCTTCTAAGTGCTAATTGAGCATTGTTCTAAGCAATCATGAAGGTGATAATTGTGCATGCTTGGCCAGCAAAGACTGAAGAAAAGGTCTGGTAATAGGCAAAGGAATTTTAACGATAGCTTTAAAAAAAATTATGGCACACCCCCAATTATTTCTGTGAGAAAAACTGGGTGTAAACATAATGTCTAAAAGAACCCTAAAAGTACCTTTAATATTCTGTTGCTTTGAGGAAAGCTTCCAATGAACTACAACTACATTTGTACAAATGCCATATCTAAGTTAAAAAGTAAACGTAGTTACTTTACGGGCAGCAAAATTAATACAGCATAAAGTCACAAATGGTGCCCATCTTTAGCAATTTACAGGCAGATTCCATTATTCTGACAGCTGGTGTTCACTCTCCAGCTCCAAAACTAATTACAAAAATAAAGTGGGTGCTGGTTTGTAACAACTTAGCCTTCTCTACCAGGACAAGGTCTGTGCTGTTGAGTCGACTTCCTTCCTGTGTCACCAGTGCCAGGGCAACTTTCTGGTTTCCAGGTTACCAAACCTCTTACCTCGTACGACATTGAGCGGGTTTACCAAGCGTCTAACAATCATGGACACCAAACGAATGAAGACGGAGGTGCAGAGTTGGCCACACTCACCAGGGTCAGGGAGGGGCAGAGAGGGTGAGACTTCAACAGTTGAGACAAGAACCAACCCAAGCAGTGATGGGATAGGAGGGTGCGGGTCACAGCACATCGGGGGGCTGGGCAACGGCGTACGCAGGACACGGGAAAGGGGAGAAAAAGAAGGGAATGGATCATGAGAGAGACGGGAGAGGACAGGGGATAAACATGAAAGCTGACTGGAACATAAAGGTGGGAGAAATAAAGGCAGCAACAGATGAGAGCAGAGATAAACAGAGGAGAGTGGCTGGCATGAGATCAAAGCTGCGGGGCTGGCAGCACTGTTTTTAGTTGAGCCGTGAAGCAAAGCTGGAGCTGCCCACACAGTCAATTACTCGCTTAAAATCATCATCTGAAATGGTCCGGTCCGTCCCCGTCTTATCTTTGTACGTGCATCTTGGTTGTAGTCCTCCAATGGAAGAGGGGAAACTGAATGGTTCGAGATAACACTAATTTTCCCGGCAACGGGTTTGTTTTTGTGCTACGAGGCTCTAATCCAATATAACAATGCACTCCAGTCAGCGTGATTTGATAATGGAGAGACTGCCAATACTGATAAATACGGCTCAGGAGAAAAGTCAACAGTTCACAGAGCTCGGTGAACATATTTCAGCCGACGGAAGGGAAGTTTTGACTTAACTTCTTTGCCCATTTATCGTGCCGACCTGCACGGGCTATCTGGGTGGGTTAAGACTCACGGCCACAGATCTCCATTACCGCTCCTGGAGATGGGGAGCAATTTCCTGCTGGTCAATTTATTTCTTGCTGATAAAATAGCTCCATCCATTTTCGTTCCTGGCATTAATTTCAGTGAGTCGAACCTTCCCTTTCGTTTTCCCTGATAACCTGATGCGAGCATTTAAGGCAGGTGATCAGACATGCGAGCATGGACCCATCTGGGACACGGCGGAGGAAGAAAAAGGCTAGCTCACTTTGCATGAGAGGGACGCATTTCTGTAAACTGACACCCACAGTCTCGCTAACTGCTCAAACACAGTGGCCGTGCCCTGTGTCTCCGTCCAGCCTGGCAATCATGGGAGCCCTAGTCATGGGAGTCTCATAGCCGAGTCACCCATGCTGGTACAGACTCCCCTTTCAAGATGTCTTTGGGTAATTGGTTAGACTACAACTTGGCAGTTGCAGTAAAAACCCTCCCATCCTCCTGAAAGCAACCGTGGGGCCTTGGTTATGTAACACCCCCCCCCCCAAGTTTGCGCCACTTACTGATGTGATTTAATCTCTGGGTGATGAGCATCATGAGGAGGCCTTAACGCTCAGCATTTCCTCCCAAACGATGAGTCAGAGAGCAAAAGTGGCATCAAACGGCCCCATAAATAAAATCCCTCCCTCCATCTGTCAAAACACAACGTGTCAGGAAGCCAAGTCAAAAAAGCATGTTTGTGTTTTTGCCCGTGTCTTCTCAAGCAGTGACGCTTGTTAAAGCACAGCCACTGAGCAGGAAATGGAAATGTGTTCACTTCTGCTTCCCTGTTTTTATTACGGGGGGGGGGCGATGTGAGAGTTGTTTCTGATTCACCAAAACAGCATCTTGTGTCCGTTCTCTTCTGTCGTGTTCGGGCTGTGTGTGCTTTTCATCGGCAAACGTCTGACCTGATGAACTGTCGCTGGATGGAAAAAGTTGCGGCAGAGGTCTGACTCAACCACGAACAGGAGAGATGAATTATTCATTTGCTCAGCCAGTCGTGTCAAGCGGCTCTGGACACCAGAGCAAGAAAGAGTCGGTCTGAAACTACGAGAGGAACAACAAATGCAGATTATACACCCATGTGCTCTAGAAAGCAACTTCGACTTTGAAAAACAATGTCAGGGCGTTGTGGAAACCATGAAAGTAAAAAATAAAAAAGGATCAACAGAAATAAAAAAAAGGATCAATAGAAATATTAATATGCAAAAAAAAAAAAACATTTTTAACAATAGTGACTAAGAATCCTTTGCAGAAGTGTCACAGCTATAGGTTTCCCTGAAAGTGATGAGCTGACAGGAACATCTGCTTTCTATTCCTTGGTTATTTCATGCTTTCTCTTTTTAACATGAGTGCAGTCATAAAAAATAAAAAAAAACTCTTTATGTTGTGGCTCCACAGAAAAACGCTCCCAAACGCAGATGCCAGACTTTTAGCACCATAATGCCTGAGAAAGGACAATAGATGAGCAAACGCTTGTTGAAGAAAACAGCTTTTGAGTCAAGTGCCAAACTAATCTGAGAGCAGCATCCTCATATGAAAGAGCGGTAATTTTCAAAAGCCTCCATCCATCCTGCATGTGAATGCCCCTCATTTAGCCCAGAGTGGCTACGTCAGGCCTGGATTCATCCGGTAACTGGGAGGTGAGTCACTTTTGAAAAAGCTAAAATACAGACTCAGTTTCCATTGGAAACTGAGGAGGCTTTTGGATTCTACCACCTGGATCAAACGTATAGAAATCAGTGGTGCATCTGATGTAAACATAGCAGGTGAGTTACAGCCACGAGTGGCGGCATCAAATGCTGCCAAGTGCTGTAAAATCTAAAATGAAAAAGCATGGAGGCTGAACTATTTGCAGCCTGAACCTTGATGGTGCTTACACTACAATACAACCAGATAAAGAGCTTTTGAGAAAAAGCTGCTTGTGGATCAGTCCATGTAATCCACCCTCAAGACCTTCTTGCTGTTTTATATGAAAGATAAGTTTAGAATCATTTGAAGGACCAGTCACTTTTTCTGTGTTAGGACTTAGAACCCACGCCTGCACATCATTAACTGTTTGGATCACTGAGGGCTGCTGCACTGTATCGCAGATGGAAATATATCTTTTCTTTTCTGTTACCTTATAGAAAGCAGTTAGCCATAAAATGCTAAACCAAGTATCAACACCACAATACCTCATGATATCAAATGGGGGTGCCTTTCCTGCCTTTTGTGGCCACAGACCTTTCAGAGGTATTGAGCTGTTTGTAATTTGTCAGTTCGTTCAGCTAGACGTCACCACCTCCCACACAGCGGGGCCTTGATGGGAGTAAAACTGCATATTACTGTCTCTGTGAGCAAATTAATGGGGAAAAAATAGAGACAAAAGCATGGCACACAGTGTTTGGTTGTGTTTGAGGATGAGGGTGAAGCTGCGTGGCCATCTTTACTCGCTTGTTGGTATTCACTACGTTTTGCCTTGTGCTTTGCTTGACAAGTTTAATCTTCTTTAGACATGGAGTCGGAACTTCACCACAGCAAGAATGTGAACAGGAGAACAGAGCATGAAGAAGCAATGACAGGAAATGGTGAGTGGAATGCATAACAGGGGGTTTTTCTGATTTAACACGTTTTAAAAATCACTACATTTAGTTGTCCACCCACAAGAACCTGTCAGAGATGAAGCCTCACTGCTCTACAACTCAGGACTAAAAACTATTCAAATGAAACAAAACACCCAAAGAATATTAGAAGAATCCACAGAACAATACTTACAAGACGAGTTCAATCATAGTTGAGGAAAAAAACTTGTCGTCCATTATCATAAAAACAGTCAAACTAATCAGATGTGAAAGGCAATGCGTGTGTACCCTAAACCTTGGTGAAAATGATGACGCATGTGAAGCAGCGGTAATTTAACTGGGCCACAGAGGTACCATAAGGCAGAAAAAAGAATATGCTTCAAACACTGCAGTCTGGTGTTTCGAAACATCCTGTTATCTCATAATGAAACTGAACAATCTTTAGGCTACAGAGCACACTCTCTTGCTTGGCTCCTGTTCAAAGAAGCATTCTACTAAATTGACTCTGCTCTGCTCATTAAGATACAGATAGAATGAACGGGATGGAAACACTCCCCACAAATACTTGGTTGCAAGAAGTGCTCTTTGTGAATATCCTGCAGTAAGAGAAAAGAGGTCTACATGTACGGCTACTTAGAGGCAGGAAAAATTAGGCTTGATCTCAGTAACAGAAATGCATTTAACTGATACAGAATGACAAAAGAAGCAATAGAAATGAAACCATTCAGATCCTGCTTTGAGGTCTAAAATGGGTAAACGGCTTGAAACTTTTAATTCTAATCAACGTTTTATTAGTTATAATTAAAATAGTAGACTTTTTCATAGTCAAATGTATTTAAATCTGTGTAAATTTAATTTAGAAAGTATCTTAGTCTTTAACAGATGTGTTACAAATGTTCATACTTTTACATCAAGATAATTGTACGGAAAATAAATGTCCTTAAGCACCGAGCTGTGAATAATGACAGAAAAAGCTAGTGTCAGATCAGATCTGACAAATATGAAGAGGAATTAGAGAAAAAAAAAAGGATGGGAAGGACAGGGCTATTTTTTTCTTTGTCTTTACACCCGTCAAAGTTTTCTCATCAGCTCTTGCCTGAGGTGTCGGAGGAGCGTTGCTGCTGTCGGCGGTCAAACATTTCCCATGATCACTTTGTTTCACCTGTATGCTTTCTGCCACCAACAGAAGACGTCATTTTGGAGGACATGGCACCACGGGGCTGTGTGCCCTCGTGAAAAACATCATTTGCAAGTGGTGCAACAGTAACCATGTGCTACAAGCTGTCACTGCATCCCCCATCAGGCTCGGTCGAGAGGGGAATGCTGGCACATCAGCAAACGGGAGAGGACAGCTGTGCTCGCTAGACCATCTCCGTGTGTCTCCCGTACACAAAGACACAAATAACGCTTTGATTGCTGGGAAGCTGACAGGTGGAGGAGCGAGCACAGTCATCCTGAGGGAGCCTTCGCAGCTAAAGTGACAGAAAAAGTTATTGGTGAGACAGAGTCTGCTTGGTGTGGCCCGCGTCTTGTTGCTATGGCGACTGAGAAAAAGCTGGCATCAGTTATATGACAATACCCTAATGTGGGCTAAAATAAACTTGTACATTGATATGCATTCACAACTCTGTGTTTTTTTAGAGGTGCCACAGGCTCTCTGTTGGATGAGGTATTCCAAAACATCGAAACACTTCCCCATGAACGCCTCGAGCGTTGCTTCAGCAGCACGCTATGGGTAATCCCTAAGGTCATCTTCACCAGTTTTAAAAACCAACACTAATTTTACAGTTTGTCTCCACAGCACTGTCTCTGGCCATCTCTAAAAGCTCTTTAGTCTTCATTGAATGACCTTCTTGCTGATTGCTCTTGATAAGTGGCGTTGTAGACTTTGCAGCCTTGCAGAACAGGTGCACATATACAGAAGTCATGTGACAAATTGGTAAGCTTTATCTATCTAATCATGTGACTGATAAAGGTATCAGTATCAGGTAGAAGTACATCTAGATTGGTAGCTTCCAAAAGCTACATACATATATCTGAAATTGTTTTTTATTCTTTTGATTTATTTTATACCATTCACAAATTTGAAGTATCAAATACAGAATCAGCCAACATATCAATTTAACATGTAGGATCTAATCATTAAAATTGGACAAATACTTTTACAAGTAAATAAAAGAAGCATGTCAGTACCTTTAAACTGACAAGAATAAAATACCCAATGTTTTTAAAGCATCAACTAGGTTTAAAAATCTAACTATGTTTATCCTATAGCGGACAAAATAATAGACTAACACCTAATCTTATTCAAGTGTGTTTTTGTGTGTATGTGGGTGCATGTAACAAAGAACTCATGCTTGGCAGTCTGATCCTAATCTAAACCTCGTGATCTGGCTGCTGTTGGTTCTCTGAAACAAGAGCGGGGATGAAAAGCGCAGCGGACATTTCAGAAAACCTGCTCTGTGAAATCTTGCCACACGATGACGTAAAAATGAGCAATCTGTGGTTTACACCTGCTGCTACCTCTGCACTTACTCACTGTGGACCCTTCTCACGTTTATGCTGCACACCAGTAACATTTTCTTCCCTCAAAAAAGTGGCACATGGGGGACCTCTGCGGTTCTAAAGAGGTTTTTGCTAAAGGTTCTTCAGGAATACTGACCTTAAAACAGCTAAGGAAAACAAGTCAGTCATTTCAGACCACTCCGAGAATCCTCTCTAAATAAAGTTTTTCATTGTTGGTTAACCCAACTTTGTCAAAACTTTACTCAAGCTTGAAATCTCAAACCACAACAGCAAGCCCGAAGCTGCCGACAGAGTGGAGATACATTATGGGATTAAACAATGTACAGGAAAAATCACATATATATTTGACAGATGTTTCGTGAAGCATTTAATAGAAATTTCAAGACTATTGCCTCTCAGCTCTGCATGACCTGCAGACTGATAAAGACCTCAAAGCTGACCCTATATGACACCAGCTCCTCCTCACAGAATCCACATGTTGCACCTTACCTGCAGATCAGCTCCTTGCAGTCTACAGTCCATATATTTTTCCCACGCATATGACAGATCAGGCTGCTGTGGGCAGGCCATGTCGTCCACACATCCAGGTAGTTCTCCAATTTGGCCGGTTAGGAAGTCAGAAATTACAAATATCTCTTTTGGATTTCCTCTCTAATGATCGAGGTGGCTGAAAGTGTCCCGGACAGCCCCAACGAAGTCTCAGATGTTCCCCTGAGTCTTTCATTGTAGATTCATGATTCGCCGCGCTGCTTTTTTGCCGCTTTTAAATTGGGCTTCTGCAGAAAAACACAAGGTGTCAAGGGTTAGCAAAGCAGAATCAGCTGATGAAGGCACTTTTGCTCTTAGAGTCTCACTCAGGCGTACAGAGAGGTAATCGTAAAGCTCTGTAACCGGACTTGAGTTGGAAACTTCAGCCAGACGAGCCCGACACACTCATAACCACAACAAAACGGACTCTAACAACATAGTCAGCTAGCTAACAGAATATTTGACAGAACCTGCATTAAGCTAGCAGGTAGTTTTTGTACACTAGCTTCCGGTGTGGCATTTAACTTTCAAAATATACCACTGAAGCCCGAACTCACGTAGGATATTGAGATGTCAAACCAACGCTTATGTGAGAGACTTCTTGATAAACTTATAGTTCGCACTACAAACAAAGCACAAAGAAATTCAGCTAAATTATTCCAATGTATTTATTTGACGTGAACCGCTCATTTTCGTCAACATGCTTACCGAAGTATCACCCGCTGTACTTGACGCTTTATCTTGAAAATTCTATTTTTCCGCTGCTTATAATACTATCAATGCCTTAACTACGAGGCTAATAGCACACACTCGATAACTTCTAACCCGAATATTTGAATTAAAAATATTGAAACCCAAGTCCTCGGCACAAGTAACTGTAATAACCTTTACAAATAGCAAGGTACACATTTTAGTATTTAATCTCTTTTGTAAACAGTCATATCGCAAAGCTGCTCTGCTGGTTTTCCACCGCATCGTCCTGTGTTTGGTACATGTCAAAACTGTACTAAACAAAAACTAATACACATTTTACGGCAGTCAGTAAAATAGTCACATTGCCCGGGAGTAACTAGTTAATTCTCAGATTAGTACTATCTAAAAGGGAAAAATAAATCCTTAAACATACCGTGGTTTCAAGTAAATTAAATTCCAGCTCAATTCTAGTCCTCTGTCTGCATTAAGTCGCTTGTTTTGCTGCCCTCGGTACAGACTGCGGAACCATGTCCCACATACCGCCGTCTTTGGTTCATGCAGAATCTCCTCGAAAATACGTCTGACAGAGTCCGAAAATATATAGCAATAACAAAAATAGTTCATACCTATGGGCTTTCTGTATGCACTCCACATAAGAAAGTTGAGCTTTTTTTAAAAACATCACCAGAAATAACATTTTTTTAAAGTCTGTTTATTTTGGTGTATCCCCAGTGAACACAAGGGGAAATGACTGTAATCTGTGATGTTGTCATACATGTCTACATCGAAGAAAATACATTTTTATTCAGAAATCTACCCAATGTGAGTTTGTTTTAGTCCCTCAAAGAGTATTCCTTGCAGTCAAATCTGAGGGCATAATAGAACAAACACATGAAGCCCTCCCCTCAGCCTGTGACGTACACACACCCCTCACTTGCTTCCCATTGGACAACTCCCGGAACCAACCAACAAAACGTTTACATTTTGTTCAGCAATGATGGTGCGTTTGAAAGAACCTTCATAAATAACTTCAGCCTCAGTATCTTGAAAAATGACTGAGACATTCTTGAGAAGGTTCCATTGTGTAAATTTGAAATCATTCATGACCCATACGGACTAAACTAATACAGACTAGTTCATAAAATGATTATTCGAGGTTAATCCGCAGTTATAGTTTCCATACTTTTACAACTGCTGGATACGAGATAAAGATTAACAACAGATGTTGATGATTTAACACGTAGACATGCTTCTGTAACATAATATGGATAATGTCAATGGGCAGAAAAGTTTTTTTTTTCTTTCAATAAATGTAAATAATATTCTTAAAAATACATTTTGATTAACATTTTGGGTGAAACGCAACAATTCTTTTCAACTTTCTTTATTTTTTTTATGGTAAATGTTGTTTACTGAGTCAGCTTAGGCTTTGAAGAACATTTATTTTTGTGACATGACATTAACCATCGGTCAAAATCCTGATTATCATGATTTACTGTCCATTGTTCTCCGTCTCATATTGTCAATTTTGTATCTGTGTAATCATTTTATGACCCTTTATTTCTTCTTTATTTATTTATTTCTTTATTTCCTCATACTCATCCTACCCACGAATCATTTTTTATTTTCAAAGTTATTATGGGGAAGGACCAGCCTTGTGTACAGGTTGCAATTTACAGTACCGTACTGGTTATTGTTATCAGAAACTGATCTCATGGGAAGTCTTGCTTGACCAACATTGATAATAGATCATTTTTGTTCATTCAGAATGTATTCTTAATAAAACCCCATATTTTGAGGTTGTTCTGTGTGGTCTTGAAGTTACCACATGAGGGTGCTGTTGCAGTAATGCAAAAAAGACAAAGCCAAGAGCCAGGCATGGTAGAAAAAAGTTTATTCCTTTCCCATCCAGCATATAGTCATCCCATTGGCCTGTACAGATGTTTTCACCCTATTTCTCAATAGCAGTTCCTTGAGATAAGCTAATTCCAAACACCCCACAGTGTTACACAACTGTCATGCATTCCTGTGTTTAATTTGACATTAAATAATGTATCCCTTGAGCTTTAATCTTGGTTTATGTGCACTCGGGAAAAGAGTCAACATGACAGTGTTTATTTTCACAGATCCCAGTGCCGGGTGTGAGTTTGTAAATGGGAAATGTTCTTAGAAAATATAGATAAGCAAATCACTGAGCAATAAAAGGCACAGTTAAGTTAATCTCTGTTCTCAGTGGTGTTTCGTAGAATTTAGTAATGCTGAGTAGATCCTATTTTGCGGTCAAACATTTGAACAGTGTTGACTCTCGGAGTCCGGCCAGCTCCTTTCAGTACCCGCCGTCCCTCTCCACGCAGCCCACACCAACAGCGTTGTCAGGACACTTACAGGAGCGGCCTGTTGGCGTTGCTAAACAGAGGTGGGTGCAACCTCCGTTGTTCACAGAACAGTGGTTTTGCCCTAATGGAGACAAAAGTTACTCTTAATAACATGGAACAAGAGAGGGCACTTGAAATAATAAGCCACCATCGCGGTCAGCAGCAGGAAACAGCCTCTTTATATATACTAAACACATCTAAAGGAAACACATAGCAGATTCCAGATGTTTGAGGCCCTCTCCCTCAACTCTACATTCCCTGTTTTCATTTGTTTTTTTCCCTTGTGCAGCCTTATCTAGACAGGAGAGCGAAGCCTGGTGCTTTGCTCTACCATATGTCATCCCCCACTTAATAAATACGAGCTAGACAATCTGCAGAATTCCTCATGTCAGTTTCAGGGACTGAATGTGAGATGTTCCTTTTTTCTTGTTAATTTTTTATGTTTTTGTGGTCTGCTGACAGCCGTTTTTAAGACGAATAGGTCGTCCGTCTCTCGCCAGCTTCTTTTTGCAACATTTGGAAGAATTCAACACAAACGCATGCAGAGATTTTCATGGGGAATAAGTTACCCCATTAATACTAAATTATTACCTGAGGGACACTGGGAGTAGACTGTGGTGATCCCATATATCTTGGTCCGTTTCTGGGGCTGGAACTCCTCTGATTCCCTTCCACCCGACACGTCCACGTTGACTATGGCGTCCCTGTTGTAAACACAATCAGTACGAGAATTTATCCATTTGGGACTATCTCATTTTGAGAAATCCTCCCAGTTATTTGTGCTTTGTATATTTGGATGAGTAAGGGTCAGTTTCTCAGCCATTGCTGACATAGTTTGTTGTGTGTGTGCCTTCCCCCACCAACACCTCTCAACCTTCTCTTGTAAGGTCCAGGCAAGATCACAGAGAGCCCCAGGATAGGTCACTCACAGATGCCCGGAATGAGAAATTGCAAGCAGCTGTCACTTTTTAAGGATTCCTTCTCACTCCTAGTGCTCACACACAGGCACACACATTCATGTGAGGACATCCCAACCCCCTCTTTTTCAGTTATAAGCACGAGCCATGAGAATGTCCTGCTTGTGGGGGAGATTTCTGATCCTTGACCTATCCTTTCCTTCCCTTACCTTGATGGTCTGCCCACTTGTAGGACACTGCAGGCTGGGGTCAAAACCTACTTTCTGTTCTTGACGTTGAGAATAATTGCGACAAGAATTCAGTCTATAATAATGTAAAATACTACATTGTGATGCATTAGAACTCAGTCTAAACCAGAAACAGATATATTATCTGTATTCTCGGAAAAAATGGACTCCCCTCTAACATGTAAAACCTGAGAAATAGAGAGAGAGATGTAGCCTTGTTTTTGAAAGCAAAGCTTTAAAACGTTTCAAACCTTCTCCAATCAGTGTAGTAGATTCTCTGCCCAAATGACGTAACTCCGAAGGGGTACTGAATCCCCTCCAGAACTGTGGTGCGATCACCCCGGCCAGGATGCATGCACTCCATTTTATGTGTGCCTGGAGGGGAGAGGTTACACGTTGCACTCATCACACAGCAGACACCACTTCACAGATTAGTCATCTGTCTGAAATTTACCTGCGTCTGCCCAACAAAGCTGAGAACTCTGAAAGTCGAAAGTCAAGCCATTTGGTAGACTGAGATCGTCCTTAACCAGCACCCGTCTGTTGGATCCATCCATGTACGAGGTTTCTATTTTGGGGGCGTCACGGTTCCAGTCAGCCCAGTATAAATGACTGTTGAAGGAAAAAAGACAGTTAATCCATTAATAAATCATCTGAAAGGAGAGTATTGTATGTTTTACTTAGTACCCAACCAAAGCCAGCTGTTTGGTAGCTAAACTAACATACAAGTGGTAAGGAGAAGACAGCTCGTTCAGCTAATTAAACTGTTTGAATTGAATTAGAAATTAATGAAAGAAAATCATACCAAGAACAGACAAGAGTTCAGAAGTTCTGAAACTGCTGAACTTTAAGTTTATGTGCAGAATCAGGTTTTTGACTTGAAATGGGACCGTGATGAAGATTCTATTCTTTAGTTTTGGACCTTCATAACTGTAGCTGTTATTAATGGTCATACAGAGATGAGAGGAGTTGTATATCTATAACAAAAATAAAACAACTTGCAAATCCTTAATAAACAGATACATGCATAAATGTTTATTCAAATACATTTTTATTAGAAAATTCCACTTCTGCTGCTCAACATTAGAGCTTCTCTTCCTGTGAAAAAAACAGCAAGCAAAACATTGGAGCTTTATGTTAGGTTCTGCTCACCCATTGGCCGGGTCAGCGATGATGGCTCGGGGGTTCACAAGATCAGAGTCTATGATGACACGTCTCTGGGACCCGTCCAGAGATGCCACCTCAATGCGATCTTTCACAGAGTCCGTCCAGAACATGGTTCGCCCCAAGTGGTCAATGGTGATACCCTCTGGGCTATCCAAATCTGTTGGGATATAGTTACCTTTTTTAACATTTTTTATCATAAAGTGCAATTTCCTGACTTACTTTAAAAGATGAAAGAGAACCTGAGGATCGAGAGTAAACACATACCTGATCTAATAACTACAATGGGCTCTCCCCCTTCAAAGCTGGCCTTGCTGATTGAGGGAGATGTGATTTCTGTCCAGTACACCATTTTTTCCACACAGTCATAAGCCACTCCAATGATCACCTTCTCCTACAGCACACAACACAACAATCTTTTCTCAGTGTGCTTTCCTTTAGCAAACCTTGGCGCAGATGTGTTTTTTGACATCTTGACATGAATGCAAACAAACTGAGCCGTGCATAGCTCGACCAGACTCTGGGCCAGCTGGTTTGTAAATCAGCGTAACCCAGAATGCAGGCGGGATTTCAAAAGATGCTGCACTGATGTTAGTCATTAGTGGGAATGTCACTGAATGAGAGCAATAAAGCTCAAGTCTTGAATGCACTAAGCAGATGGGAAGATCAAACAGCCTGAGCAAGCATGTGCACAAGCACAGAGGAAAGACTGGACCTAGGGCTGACGATAGCATTAGAACTTTTTCTATATCTCGTGTAATCAGAATAGTAAAAACAACACAGGCTGAAAATGGTGCCTGAAAAAAATAAAAATAAAGGAATTTTTTAAATAAGTTTACAGGCAGATGGAGAAGAGCCTTGGCTTCATCTTTTTTCATGTTGAAACCTTCCAGCGGGACATGCTCTATCCTGCCGCTCTGGGCAAACAGCAGGTGTGTGGGCTGGGGTCCGACAGGTGGAGGCACACCACCATGGCTGCTGCCTAAATGACACATGACATTTATAGTTACACTGTGGAGGGGGCCAACCTAAAAATCAAACAGCAGTGTTCCTGAAACTTGGTTTTCCTTTTCCTGTCGCTTCACGTTGCTGGAGGGTCAACGCATCCCGTTTACTCACATTGAGGCCTGATACCCGGTTCAGAACGAGTCCCGGGGATCTCCTGCCCGTAGCGATCCACGCACCAGCAGTATCCCGCGCTGTCATGGCACTGCACGGGCTCATATTCACCATTCTCATCACACGTCGGGACATACTGGCCGACAGGAGGCCGAGGTCCCCGCGGACCGAACTCCGTCTCACCCAAAAGACTCTCTCTGTGGACCTCACATCGACTTTTTGGCCTTCCTGGAGAGATAAAGGAACAATGGCGGTGATTCTTATCATTTGATGTCAAAAGTCAACCTTTGTTTTGTGTCGAATCAAAATGTAACATAATTAAAAAAAATAACTTCCACATCATTAATAAGTTGAGAAAAATTCAAATGTAAAACAAAAAACAGCTTCCAGATGGCCCTAATGCCCCCCGGTGAGGCATTCACTCCCAAACACCACTCCTTTCGTATTGGGAGTAACAAACAAAGTTAAGACTGAAGATCTGTTTTTCTCTGATCAATGATATGTAACTATAAAATATGAATAACTACTTAAAACCCCCAAATTAATTGACACTAGCAGGAGAATTTTAATCACAACCACGGTTGTGGTTGTGCACTGTTGTGGCCGTTGCACACTTACCAGATGAGCAGTAGAAGCCATCGCCGCTGAAACCCGGCCTGCACTGGCAGGTAAACGATCCCGGAGTGTTGATGCACACAGCGTCCTGATGACACCTGCCGAGCTGGCATTCGTCTAAGTCTTCAGGCAAGATGTGAGAGTGCAAATAAAGACAAAGAAGTATCGTAAGAAAAACATTGTTTTTTAATGCACATGTTTTATGCTCTCATCAGGAGACTTTAGATTGAAAGGTTACAGAGAACACCAGACACCCTCACTTAAAAAAAAAAATTTGAAAAATGCAGTCAAAGTCAGAACTGTGAAAGAAATGTCCATCTGCTTTTAATGTCTCCCTGTTCAGTCCCTGATTATGTAGCCAGCCTCACCTCCAGCAGTCCCGAGCAGCTGGTTAAACAATTATAGTGCTTAAAGTCCTGCTTTGTTTGCCACATACATGCGCTTTTCTTTCCTTGGTAGGATTCAGCATTTGCTAAATGTGCCTGTAAACATCTTTCGTATCAGAAAACAGCATGTCTAATAGTTCACAGTAAAAAGCTGAAAGGTTATCGTCCTCGTCGTATTTTAAATCATATTTGTAGATTCTCCCACAGACGTTCAGTACTGGCAGACACCTTTTTAGAGAAGCTCCCAGGTTTTAATAAGGGGGTTTCAAAACTAGAAATACTGCTGCTATCATAATTAAAACCACTTTTAAAGTCGTAATTCCATATTTTCTGATCTGTTTTATCATATCTTTAATTCAGTATTCAACTTATTTTAACATTTATCAAATCAGTGCAATGTGCTCTTATCTCACATTGTCTTAGATGTTTAGGGACTGCTTTTCTTGTTTGTTTGTTTTATTTATTATTGATTTTCTCCTACGATAGGCTGTCTAAACAGCCTGTGCCTTGTGTCTGTTTGCAGTACCTTGGCAGTTTCTACCATCTCCTGTGAACCCAGGCAGGCAGGAGCAGAGGTAGGACGAGCCCCCTGTGTAGCTGCACACAGCCCGCTCGGGGATGTCACAGGTGTGGGTCCCTTTCTCACAGTGGTCCGCGGGTTCATCAGCCTCTACAGAGAAGAAGAAGAAGCTTCTTGAGCAAATGCGGTGCAGTGTGATGGCTGGTTTACTCAGACGTGTCCAATCTCTGTTTCCAGACTTTCATGCTAAGAAAAAGTCAGAAACTATTGGCTGGAGTGTCAACAGTAAATAAGAATGTTTCCTTAAAAAAAAAGAGCTCTTTCTTCAAAGTAATTGTATTTAACTGAACAGAGTATAGTTTGAAATGATATCTGAGATCATAAAAAGCTGTAATACAATCCTTATGGTGTTGGCTATGTAAATCTAAAGACATGTTCATGTATATGTCTTTAGAAATAATAATAGACATTCTACCGCCGAGAATTCTCAATATTTCAATGCATCACCAAGAGATCTGCCTAAAACAGCAAACACAAACATAACTCACCAATACAGGTCCTCCCATCACTACCGAACTGGTATCCATCTTCACATTCACAGCGGAAGGTCCCTAGTTGGTTGTTGCAGATTGCATTGGGCCCACAGATCTGAGGATTCTCTTGGCACTCATCAATGTCTGACAGAGAAAACAAGCTCTTATCACAGGCTAATAGCCCCCGCATTTAGCCCAACTTTTACCTCGGAGGTCTAGATTCGTCAAATCAGCAGGGTTGATTATCAGACTTTTTGAGATCAGAGGGAGAAGCTTAATTAGATTTCTTAATTGTTTTAAGATAGCATCTGTCTGAAATACTTCCTTCCTTTCCTTACTGTGTGCGCTCTTCCTGCTTAGCTTCTCACAAATGTCAACCTGCTCTCAGAGCGTGGGGCCCCCTCTGATAATTAGCAAGGTTGTGCTGTTCCCCAGGAAGGAAGACTCAAAAGTATGACCTAATTAGATAATGATTCTGAAACACTGAAACTGTTTGATTTACTTCAAAGCAGATGATATGTGTTGTATCATCCATGCAACCTACAGCCACGTACAGAGTTCTCTGCATCAGATTGTGTGTCTTCTTCTTCTTACCATGGCATGTACGGCCATCGCCATTAAATCCAGCAATACACTGGCAGGTGAACTGGGTTCCCTGGCCAGGTCGGCAAACGGCATTAGGTTCACAGCCGTGTCTTCCAGTGAAACATGGGTTGTCCTCTGGCTGCCCTCCTATGTTAAAAACCAAATAACAAACAGACTTGATTAATAAAATCCTGTTGCGAGCTAACTGTCTAAAAATAACCCCTTTTGGTCAAACAAGATGTTGTAATGCAGGAAGGAAAAGATCTCAGACCAAAACAAGTCACCAAAGTAATCCCCGGGCCCTCACCGTTGACGTCACCGATCTTGTTGCTCATGGCGAACCGCATGAGTTCATTTTTGATGTCATACATGGCAAAAACCTGGTCCACGCTGAGCATCTGGCTGGGTCTGACGTCTCTCAAGGACTCGTCATACTGGCAGCTCTGAAAGGTGATGGTCTGACGCCACTGGTATGTTCTGGTTTCAGTGGATCCGTCTGGCATGTTCACTGTGTAGCTCCGAGTGGACGATGAGGTAATCACTGAAAGGTCAAATGGACAGATGAGCAAATCCAAAAACTGTGATGTCAAAAACTCAAAAGATAAATGGAATTATCATATACATATATATATAAATTTTTCTTACTATTGCTGCTGTACTGGTAGACCTCAGAGTAAGGTTCAATCTGAATGGTGGAGCCATGAGGGACCTCAGCCACCTTTCCGTTTAAGGTGGTGCGCACCACCAGGTGGTCAAGCTCGTCAGTGCCTTTGAACTCCTGCTTGATTATCAGCTTCTCGTTCCCTGGCAGAAAGGTCACCTCGGCCTGTCTCGTGAACTCACCCCCTTTGGCGGATAAAAAACAGGTGAGAAAGTTCAAAACCCTCACCCCGGATTACCTCTGACGACCCGGCAACCGTCACAGCGGAGGATTTATGATGCTGGAATCTTTAATATGTCATTTGCACATCTAAAACCTATGAAAACCAAACACGAAGCTGTTGAGAGTCCCTTTCTTTGTCTCACCAATTATGCTAAAGCCATTCTTGAAGCCAGGCTGCTCCAGAGCAAACGCCCACCCGATCACTCCACCAATGGCTGACAGGGGGGCAAGAGAGGGACCAACAGTCTGGGGAATGTCACTGATGGCAACGTAAGATCGGCCATCGTTAACCACCACATACGAGTGGAGATCATTTCCGTTGAACTCCACAGGGGAAGGAGAGTCCCCCACAAACACTGTTCCATACAATTTGCCATTCATCCTTTGGGGCTTCCCTGCAAATAAAAACCAGAGCAACTGAAATCAGTTTTCATGTGAAGAAAATAAATATTGCACCACTGCCTTAATTCCCAGTGGAGGTAATTTCTGCTATGAAAAATATGTTAGCATTTTGGGGACATACATCGCAGTGGAAGTGGGTGAATAAATGTGAGATAAAAAGACATCTGCTTCCACTGACACCATTCTATATGAAAAAAACTTCACCAAAGTTATGTGCTCACTTGTTTCACCGTGTTGCTTTTGTCGTCCAACTTTATAACATAAGTCAAACTGCACTAGCTGAGCCAATTACAGTTAAATGTAGATGAGATTTACAATGCAGCAATGGTTTCACCCACAGTAAAGCACTACATCACACACACGCACATACACACACACAAACAAATAGTTGCATACCCTCTGCCACACACTGCACTCCATTGCCATAGAAGCCAGGTCTGCAGTGGCAGCAGTATCCATTCGGATAGTCCCTGCAGTCAGCAAACTGGGAACATTTATTTCTGTTGTTGGCACAGGTTCCAAAGTTGTATGAGAACACTGAAGACACAGGACATAAAAAAAGTTAAGAATATCATTAGTTATATCCTTTTTAGTTGTGGTTTGTTCTTTCAGACTTCTTCTCGGTACTAGTTAGATGTTGCTATTTCCTGGTTATATCTAAGAACTGGTACGTTGTTATGTAAACCAGTTGAAATCTAGTATGGTGTGTATATAGAGGAGTAATTTGACATTCAAGTGCATTACTTTCTCAGACCAGCCATCAGGGCTTGTATTTTGCACCATTATGGCAGAGCTCACTTGTATATGCTTAAAATTCTGTTTTTGTTATTTTCCACTGTCACCTTAACTGTGCTTATTGTACAGAAATAATTACACCTATAACAATGCAACTAGAAAACTACTTCACATTTAATTCTAATCTCTGTATCATTGAGTCAAACGTTAGAAGTCTTAGGTTCATTTGAATAACATATATAATAATATATATCATAATATATATCAAGCATCAATCATAGTTCATTTTTTTCCATTCACTCACCATCTACATTAATGTCTGGATCGTCCACGACCAACACTTCTGGGTTATTTGGCTGCCTTGGCAGGTATTGAATGGGCTCTGTGTCGATCTGTTCTACTCTTGGCTCTTGAGGCGAATATTGCACTTTTACATCAGTATAAACGCGCTGTCTTGTGTCCTCGGCCTGTGGCGGAACCTCAGTGGGCAGCTCAGTGACCTCACCAGGAGCCACATTGGCAAAATAGGGGGAAAATCCAATCTCATACACCCATACACCCCTGAGCCCAGAGTTGGTCTTCCTGTGAGGAGGGAAAGTTTCTGGGTTGAAAACAAATTTACAGGTCACACAACAATTCTTAGAAAACAGCATCAGTGATCTGTATGTGCTCGCTAAACGGTGATTTGGGCCGACGCTGACAGAAACTTACTCTGCCAAATCCCTCACGGAGGCCTCCTCATTGGTGGTGGTGCGGTAGTATGTTCCCTGACTGGAAAACAGGAAACCTGTGACCAAACCTTGGCTGAAGCCAGCATGCAAGATCACACGACTGTCTCCAACAGGTGTGGTGGAAAACTGAATTCCATCCCTTGCATAGAGGACAATAGCATATGAAGCGGTCTCCAAAGATGCAATAACCAGCTGGAAGGTGTTTCTCTGAGTAACAAGACATTAGAGAGGATATAAGTGACCTGCATCGCTCCGAATGTTTTGAATGAATATGTAATACGCACCTCCTTGTCGACGTCGTCCCCTCTGCTTTGAGGCTGATGGGCGGCGACGTCCACCCAGGTGACCACCACGGCATGGGTGGGATTAACCTCGTCATCGTCCGGGAAGGCCCTGTTGATGTGCTCGGCCGCCCGGCGCAGGACACCGGGACTGGAGTCCTCGCGGAAGAACACTTTCCCCACGCCGTCACTGGTGTCCAGGTCTCCTTGAAGGGCTGCGATCATGCCAAATTTTGGGGGCATTTTGCCAAGATATGTCGACTCGCTTGTCGGTTCCTTCGTGGCCACAAAGCCATTGGTGTTGATCTGAAATGAAAAACTCACGTTGGCCATTTGCAGACGGGGAATAAAACAATTTTAAGAGCATCTGACCCTCACTTTGACACAGCTCAGACTGTTCCTCAAACTGAGGCGAGCTCAGTTCAGCCTGACCCACTTTGATCTCTATTCCAAACTCATTAGAGTAATGATCTAAGTCAGCTGCTATGTCCTTCCACAACGCTAATGAACAAACAAGATCCCTTCAAACACAACTGTTACACACTTTTATAGCTTTATTGTTACAAAATGCAAAGCTCTTAAAGAAAAAGACATTCTGGAGCTCATGGCAAAAACATGCACACACTCCTTCACTTCCTGACCAAATGAAAACAACAGAGGTCTTTCTGGTTCAGGCCAGACTGTTTCCTGTCCTTGCCCCTGACGAACAGCCCCAGAGAGCGTGAAAATTGTAGACTAATCTTCATTACAGAAACTTCCTGTTGAAACTCCAAGAGCTTGGAAAATGATTAGTGATTTTGATCTCATGGACCTAACAAGAGAACCTCAAAATTAGTGTTTAATATTTATGAGACGGGGTGAAATACACTCGCGAATAGACGATCGAGCTTCCTGAGCTGATTTTACATTTGTAAAAACCTTTGTTTGTCTGTAACCTTGTCTGGACTAAAAGCCTGAAAAAACACCCACAAGGCACAGACAATTCACCACAGACTGCCTCGTAAATCAAAACCAAAAGTCTTTGAGGAAGCCTAACTGCAGTGGGGAAACAAGTTTGTGGTGGGTGATGCAGGAGCTCCTCAGCCCAGACTCTTGAAGCAAGGAATTCAATATTTCATCTCAGCCTCAGGCTGATGAGTTAACCAGTGTGTATTCACATCTGTACAAACTGCTCCAAAAGATCTGCACTTTGAGTAAGAGTCACTTCTGTGTTAAGTACCATATAAAAGCCATTTCGTAGGGAAAGGTTATCTTCTGGCTGCTCAGTTGGGATTGGGCTTCATTTTGCATTTATAAAAACAGATCGAATTGTAACAGAAATAACCTCTCATTCAAACAACCAAAGCCTTCACAGGTTTGGCAAATGTTCAGTTTCTACTATTCAGACTGATCATGCTTTGCAAGCACATTATTCAAACGCATCAGAATGAAAACAAAAAATAGACTTAGACCGTCTTTGAGAACCAGAATTTGAACAAATGTTTGTTGGCCAGCTAAATGGTAAACTTCAAACAAAGGGTGAGGTTAAAAAAAGACTCTAACACTAAAAGAGTCCTTTAAAAAATTGTGTGGTCTCCACATGCATCCTTTATGTAACATGAAGTCATAACTAGATGTTAGAGGGTTACAAAGAAAGCTTTTTCGTCTTAGTGTGAGCGGTAAAATCTCAGTCATCTCAGAGTGTGAATGCGTCGACGCATGCATTCCGCGCGATGAAGCAACGTGTGTGATAAGTAAATTGATGTGTAGAAATGCTCCGGATCGACAGAGAAAGTCATACCCGGCCTGAACAACATTTTTTAACTTCCAAGAATCGTTCAAATGATTAGATTCTGCCCCCCTGTTAGAGTCTTGGCTATGCGTAATTGCGCAGAAACCTAAGGACAGTCCGCGGAACCGATTCAGTCCCTTGCGTTTGTATAAATAGTGTGACCACACGTCAAGTTGTTGGTTAACTTACAAAAAGGGTGTTGAAAGTGCCATCATAAAACAGCACTGGCTTGTTCAATTTAAGTTGGTGCGTTTGGTCATTCCCAGACTCCAGTAACTGATCTCTTGCGCTCTGTCCAAAAGGGAAAAACTCGTTTCTTGTTATACTCCGCACCGAAGCCACAAATCCGAGAAAACTCGCACATACGAGCCATCCTTGCTTCTGCCAACCCATTGTTCGCCTTTCGGAGGCAACTGAGCGGTCAGCCCTGGGTTATAAGCGGAGGCAGTGAATTACAAGTGTGGGCGGAGCACAACTATGAGAAAAACATTAGTAAAAACCCTATACTTCCTCTCCAAAATGTTTTTTTAAACGTTTGTGGCTTGGTATGGTATTTTGAAGATGTTGCAATGTTTAACTCTGCCTGGCGATAGTTCCAGAGGTTTGTTGAGGAAAGAATAAGGCAGCGAGAAGGACTGCAGTCATTTTCACAAAACTGAGTGTTCCAAGGGTTGCTATTACAGTTTAAAGTAGCCAAGTGTGTTTCGACGATAAGGTAATGTTACCCAGGGGCCACTGGTGGTGAGTTTCCAGAAAATTATTACTTTACTGATCAAGCTCTGGAGCTTTGGAGACTGGCCAGTTGACCATCAGAGCATGGAGCAGTGACCGGCAATTGAGCCAAGTTTAACCAAAAGCTTATGTAAAGGACGGCATCACAAAGGCCTGTAGAGCACAGTAATCATTTGAGGCTATCAGAGTTGGGATATCCAGCTGGGATAATGAGGGGCATGCTGATATTATGGTTCAGTTTGGAGCCCCTCTGTCCCACTAACGGATGGTCAATCATCCATCCACCACTTTGATCCTGCTGAGTAGTTGTTGGTCATATAATCATGAAGCTCAGTGTCTGCGCCCCCATTATATTTAATGATTTTAAAGAAAACGTAATCATTCATGTAGAGCCACCACCAACCCAAAATATCTGTCCCACAAGAGAGTACATTGAACCACATTTTTTAAAGTGTCAAACATGGATAGCTGTGATCCCGACTATCCAAAATATCCAAATCCAAATATTTGAAATATTTTTGTGCGATTACATGACCTTTCTGAGTCAAGAGCAGGCGAAGATTTAATCCACAAGACCCAAAAGATAGTAAAACAGAGTATGACCTGAGGGGGCCTTACGAATCCTTTCCTTTGCCCTTTTTTTCTTTATCAACAATGAATGAATCACCATGAAACATTTCATTTAGATACACAGTAAACAATCTAAAGTACACACAGCTCATGTTCGGGCCTTGACCCCCTGAGGAGAGGTCATAAATGGACACAGATTTGTTTAAAAGGTTACAAGGCTAGCAGGCTGGGAAATGTTGCTCCAGAGGACAAATTATTGATGCATGGGATAGCCAAAGAGTGACCCTGCACCACCTTCTACACGAACGCTAAATATTTCCACAGACACGTTGAGCCAATGGATCCTTAAGTCTAAATACCTTCTATTCCTTTGACCTCTCTCAGGTTAAGTTTTCTCTTTTTCAGACCCCTAACCTGTTGGGCTGTGATATAATCATTTTCCCCCCTCAGACAAAAGAGTATCACAGCCGTTCTATCAAGGGCCTTGATCTTTCTGAGACTATCTAAAAACTTTTTTTTTTGTTCTAAAACGTCCCTGCTTAATTTTTTTTGTTTAATTTGGATTCATAGAGGTGGCTGACAGCTAAATGAAACATTTTTGTATCCACCATGCAGCCATGTTTCTCACTATGTTTATGTCATGATTCCAAAATGCATAGAGATCGTGCCATAGATAGGATTTTAGTTTAGTCTATCCCACAAGAACTTGAACTACTCTAATAAAATTGGCTCTGTGGCTGTAGAAAAATACATTTATGCTGTATATCTATTACTACAGGATCAGATGACTGCCACACCAGGTTATCAACTTATTTACTCGTCGTTAACTAGGGGAAAATGGGGATTTGTAGTTTTATTGTCTCTTATGTAGGAGTGCCCTGGTAAAGACAGAGAGTTGTTTTTTCAGAAATAACTGTGGGTCCTTCCTCTCTTGTCACTGGTAAAATTATGGCAATAATGACCACAAGGTGGCAAGGTGCCACCTTGTGGTCATCCTATGAAAGTTCTGGGATTTGGCAGCTACTGGTCATTTTATTCATAATTAACAAATAAACAGAAAGAATGTATATTAGAATAATAAATGAATACATATGTAATATTAATTTGGATTAGGTTTAGATTGATCAAAGGTCCTTGGAGGTTGATCATTTAGTGTAAACCTTAAAACGGCCTCAGGCCTCTCTACAAGGCAATAGTAGGGACAGTAAGGCGCTGATGTCAATAGCTGTTATGTGTCACTGATTTTGTGAGTCCGTTTCCTCTACCCGTGTTGCTTGGTAACCAGTATGTACGTGTCTGATGTGTCTATAACGGGATCCTGTAGCCTGATCATAAGACTTTAGTGCTATTTCATCACCACCCCGCTGTTGTCATTTCTTGTCATCGATAGGGAAAAACCAAAGATGTGGGTGATTTCCAAGACCGAGGGCCATGCTGTGGAGGACAGAAGAGTTTGGTAAGGACACTTATTGGTGTAGGTTTTCATACTTTACACCAAACAGGCCCAAAACAACACGGTAAATCCAAACTGCAGCCCAGTTCCTGCTGACAGCATCCTGTTTGCTCTGATCTCTGGGTGGCAATAGTAAATGTCTCACAACAGTCAAAGGTGAGTGGGAGTGACCCTATATTCACATGTCCCACTCCTGTTAGACAAAAACCTTGATTAATTGTAAAAATAACACACTTTTTTTGTTATGACAACAAATAGCCTTTCTATGGGGTCACAAACCAGAGGTTGCCTCAGTAGGATAAGGTTTTATCTGGTGGGATTAAAAGGAATCCCAGAGACTAAATACAGAAATGTCAATTTGTGATACTGAAAAAAGTTTTGTAAAGTCTGATGGCATCATCAGAGCCACGATGCTCCACCTTTTTGATCTGTAATCATGCGTTTCCTGATGTAGCGGTGAAGTTCTGCTGCCGTGGGTGGAGACCACACTGATGCCTTTCACCAAACCCCCTAGGACTTGTTATTTTTGGACACGCAATAATGAATTAAACCTCGGACGAGTGGGATTCTGCTGAATCATGTTGATGCTTTTGTGCAATTCAAATCAAAGCTTTTACCAAGGCTCGGGGACTTGACCAGGTTACAAGCACTCACATGGAAACAAACAGCCATGGAGACATATGATAGTGTGGCATTATGCATTTCACCGGAACAAAGTCCAAATATAGAAGCATGCGAAAAACTAAGTGCACTCAACAATGCAAAGGTTTGATTTTTGCCTTCTATTTAACACAATTATATACCTTTGAGTGCTGCCAATCTGCATACCTTATCAGTTGCTTGTAGAACTGCCTTTAGCAGCAGTAAATTGGGGTCCGATGATATCATTCTCACCATGAAAGTTTGTGGAGATTTGTTTCTTCACAGCTCTTTAGATTGCATCCAAACAATTCAAAGAGGCTGAGGCTTTGACTTTTGAAGTAAATGAATCAACATCATTCTTTTTCTGTTGCTTCTTCTTTGAGATCTGGTCCCACCTTTGTCTCTAGAATAACTTGGGAGGCAAAGGAGCTCATGATCTCCCCAATGACAACAAGGTGTGTAGATTCCTTTCTTTTTAAAAGATAAGAGATCAAATCATCAACCTTCCACCAGTGATTGGAAACGATGTTTATTCGGCCTCATTCTGTCTGATGCTGCATGGTGAGTTTATTGGATGTTTATTGGTAAGATAAATGTGAATTCACTGTCATGCATCTCCATTAAACGAACGTAAATCCATGTAAAAAAGCGCGGAGGTGGCCTCCTGGGATCGGAGCAGTGGTGGGAAGCTCCAGCACAGGGTTAAAGGTACAGTAGCGTGCGTCAGCTGATGCGTAACGTCACGTAACGAGCGCGCAATGAGGAGGGGGCTGGTCCTCGGTTTCGGAGCCCCGAGCTGCGGCGGCTCCCATCAGCTTCCTGCCCGCCGCAGCGCCCCACAACACGGACGGTGCTCATCCCGGATCATGCGCCTGTCCCCGGCTCTGCTGCAGGAAGTTGGGCTTGTTTCCTCCTCCGTCTCTCTCCTGCGGTCGCCCTCTGTGACAGCCGCCTCCGCAGCCCCGTCTCCCCCCCCTTAGCTTCTGCCTTTTTGTTGCAGCTTTTGCCTCTCCTCGTCCGGTACAGAGTGCCCAAGATTCCGGCGCCGTAAAGCCAGATACCGACACCCCTCCACCCCTACACTCACCCCTCCACCCACCCCTCCACCCACCCACTCCCCTGCGCTCCCGGCCGGGGAGAGCAGGTCATGGAGGGCCTGGTGGAGGAGAAGGAGCCGATGGAGAAGTCAATGCCTCTGCCCACTCTGAGTCCAGCCGTGCCCCCCTACGTCACTCTGGGCCTGACGGTGGTCTACACGGTCTTCTACTCCCTCCTCTTCATCTTCGTCTACGCGCAGCTCTGGCTGGTCCTGCGGTACCGACACAAGCGGCTGAGCTACCAGACTGTGTTCCTGTTCCTGTGCCTGCTGTGGTCGGCGCTGCGCACAGTCCTCTTCTCCTTCTACTTCAGGAACTTTGTCACTGCCAACACTTTGGGGCCATTTCCCTTCTGGCTGCTCTACTGCTTCCCAGTCTGCCTGCAGTTCTTCACTCTCAGTCTCATGAACCTTTACTTTGCACAGGTGAGTTTGGGGGATTAGACTCTGCAGATGGCTCCATGGGACTGGGCTGCTTTGAGCATCAGTTTGTGAGCTGTGGAGAAAAGGCCATTTTTTTGCCAAATAACCTGTGTGAGATTTGATTTCATGAATTTATTGATTTATATTCAGGTTCATATGCATAAGCCTATGCTGTATGTCATGGCGCAGCTCCCTGAGCACTTTGATTTCAGCTCTTAAATTGATGGAAACTGTCATTTTTCAGCTCCACCTGTCCTTCTAAATGTTATTTAAGGGAAACGTTGTCAGACTGATGTGTGAAATAATCAAGTAACACCTATATGTGGCTAAAAATGTGGAAAGGTATTCAGATTTAGTTTAGTTTTCTTCAAAGATAACTTAAAAAACATCTAGAAAATTGCTGTCAGAATAGTTTTTATGATCAAAGACAAAACAATAAGTGCATGTTTGAAAGACGAAACGCTGCTGCCCCCGACAGCCATTCAGGAAATGTCACCCCTTGCTATCAGTGTAACACTTTCTCATTCACATCAGCTGCGAAGTGGGATGCAATGAATCATTTCTTCAACCGCTTACATAATCCACATATAGACTAATAGCTGCTCCGGCCTCTGCCTGAAGCTTATTTTTAGTATAATCCTCTGCTGCTGACGCCAACCACCGTTGACGGTGGCTGAAAACTCCACTGCCCTGTCCACTGCCCGACCGCTTCAGTCCCTTTCGATCACGAGCTTCCTCTTCTGTAAGAACGTCTCGTTTTCATTTGAGATTAGAGAACAGAGAAGTGAGAACCCTTCATCACAGCAGCGTGACGCATTTGCATGACACAGTGTCTCGTTCTCTCTTTGCAGGTTGTTTTTAAGGCCAAGTCGAAATACGCTCCAGAGCTGCTGCGGTACAGGTGAGTGCGGCCCTGGGCGGGTTTCCGTCGCAGCCCTTTTCATTTGTGGGGGAGGGATGGTAAATGTATCTCTCTCTCTCTCTCCCTGACTGCCAGGCTGCCGCTGTACCTCCTCTTCCTGTTCATCAGCCTGGTGTTTTTAGTTGTAAATTTAGTGTGTGCGGTCTTGGTGAGGATGTCGTTTGCAGAGGCGCACACCATAGTCCTGGTGAGGGTCACTATCAACGACACGCTGTTCGTCCTGTGTGCCATCTCGCTCTCCCTGTGTCTGTACAAGATCGCCAAGATGTCGCTGGCCAATATTTACCTGGAGTCTAAGGTGAGACGCAGCCGCCGTGTCCTAATGTTCCTCTGAGAAGGGAGCACTGAGAGCTCTCCTTTTTTTGACAGCCGCTTTGTGACTTATTATCATTGCATCTGGAAGTTTTGCAAAGCTGTGCATAAAGATGCACTTTTGCACATGTCATCATCCCGCCAGTGAAGCTGAAAGATTGCCCTGTGTTATTTTGTTTGTTTTTTTACATTGAATTTCAGCTAAACCGTGAATGCCCGGTTGACACTGTGTGTGCGCTCTTGTGCAGGGAACGTCTGTGTGCCAGGTAACAGTGATTGGAGCCATCGTCATCCTCCTCTACGCATCCAGGGCATGCTACAACTTGGTCGTGTTGGGACTCTCAAACAAGAATATTAACTCATTTGACTACGACTGGTACAACGTGTCAGACCAGGTGAATCACCGGATGTCAAACCGCTTTGGAAAGAGGAGGAGATATGAGACTTTGGCCAACAACCACTTAGCTCAGCATAGCATAATTGGATTTTCCTGGTTATCAGGAGGAATTGAAACAGAGTCAAATGTGCACCCAAACACCTCTTAAGCTCGCTAATCCAGAAGTTACACTATATCCGGTTTAATTCTAAAATCTGAAGAGTGAAAAAGTGAGTTTGTTTTCAATGGGATTTACAGGATTAGCAAAGCTTTGCTGTGCTGACAGACTGCTGGGCTCATATTTGGTCCACGTCAGTTGTCTGACTTTGGTTTTTCAGAGAGGCTCTAGCCCAAGCAACTTTTCCAAATTAGTTTCAAAGGGCAATGTCTATTGCTTTGAAGACTTGGAGTTGCTGAGGATGGCAGAATTCTAAGGTTGTCTGAGTCCACGCTGTGCTGTTTCTCAATGAATATACTTTTAATTATTAAAAGCAGTTAAAATGTTCAAAGTGAATTTAGAATGTTTTCTGTTTGGCTTCCCTATAGTAAACCGTAAAGGTGTAACAACAAAGACACCATAAAAAAAACACAAAAATGTCATGTGACCCTGATGCAAAATGGCGTGGGCCTGAAAAGTCCAGAACTGCTTTATTTAAGGTCAAAGAATGTGCATAAGAAAAGTCGGATTACTTCAGATCTGTTTACAATCACATAGTTTTACTTTAAGAAATATGAAAACATATATGTTGCAATGAGCAGGTATAAGATGACCAGGTAAACGTGAGAGTTGTAGAAAGATTTCTGAAGACTGACATGTGTATATATTTTTTTTTTCTAGGCAGATTTGCAGTCAACTTTGGGCGACACCGGCTACATCGTCTTTGGGGTGATTCTGTTCATCTGGGAGCTGCTCCCCACCTCTCTTGTGGTGTTCTTCTTCAGGGTTCGGAAGCCTAACCTTGACAGGGTGAGCCAGCCGTTCCACCTCAGTCAGCGTTTCTCCATCTGGTTATCAGGAAGCCTTCGTAGGGTCACAGGACCATCCCTCAAAAAGCACATCAACAAAATAGTTAATCGACCGAGAAGTGCTTTTGTTTTAGCCTCATCATTTAAGGCAGTTAGGTCTAGTTAAAATAAACTGGATCACTTCCTCCGCTCATGGACTATTGAGTCCAAAGGGAAAAAGTGTTAAAAAGCTTTGCCTCAGATGGTGTGAAACGCACACTAAAGGCTTTGTGCTGTAATAACCAGTCATCACTTTTATGCAAATGTTTATTTTTTTTTAATGCTCCTGCAGAGTGGCTCTGGCCTTCCCGGTCATGTCTTCTCCTCGAGGGCGTATTTCTTCGACAACCCCCGTCGATACGACAGTGATGATGACCTGGCATGGAGCGTCATGCCTCAGAACATACAAGCCAGGTAAAAAAAAAAAAATTAAAAATCAAAGCAAAAAGAAGCCACAGTTCCGTTTGCTGAAACCTGTCGTACACGATACAGAAATGTGGTCAGATGTATTGGCCGTGGTCCTTCTATTTATTTATTTATTCGTTTTCCAGCCTGGCTGCCGACAGTTACGAATGGGGGAGCCAGAGCAGTGGAATCGGTGCCTACGTTTGCGGCGAAGACAGTTACAGCTTCCCCTCTCCTCCAGAGGAGCTCAGCCATTACTGAGCCGCGGCTGGGCTTTGTCATTTGTGCTTTCTTTGCACAGTCTGCCACTGGCAGCAGCACACGCGGAATAACAGGGCTCGAAACTTCAGTCTGAAGAGAAAACTAACAGACTTTTCTTTGCCAGTATACGACGGCCGAGTAATGGGACCCTCATTTTGCACAGGCCTTGTACACAATCTGATCTGCTCTTAAACGTCGCTCATCATGTAGTTTGTACTGGATACAGCTTAATATATTTCTTGACCTTTGTGATATGTACTGTATTACTTTTATGTACTGTCTATGGACATAAACTTTTTTATAAGAATGTGTTTATATAGAAGAGATATTCATTTAATTCATATTAAAAAATGTATTTACTGTAAAACATATCCATTTAACCTGTGAAAGAACACTCAAAGGAGGAGTTACTACAGGATGAAGATTATCCAATCTCTATATTGCTCTGTACAGTTTCAGTTGATGCCTTGATGGAGTTCTCATTGTAATACATTAGAAATAAGTCTGACAAATGTATTTACTAGAAATAAATCGCAGTGACCTCCGTCGTTGGCTTTGGACAACAGGTCTGGACATGTAAGCATAAAAATGTAGCTATAATTAGTAGAGAATGACTCAACTACTTAACAGTAAACTTTTTATTGCAGTTCTAAAAAATAAAATTCAATCACATCTGCCTTAAAAACTGCCACAGTAGTATCCTGAGTTTCATCTTAGTTGTGAATGTTTAGGGCTCGTGAAATGAAGACACGAAGTCATCACAGCAGGTGCAAAAATCCTTCAGTAATGCTCCTCACTTTAGAGAATCCAATAACAAAATGCTTTTTTTTTTTGGCTCTAGTGGCCTTTAATGACAGTAGGTTGACAGGAAAGGGGGCAGAGATAGAGAGGGGGAGACCTGCGGGAAAGGGCCGTGCGCCGGATTCGAACCCACGGCCACCCGCTTACGAGCACAGGCTCTGTATATGGGCCGCCCGCTCTAGCCATTAGGCTACGGCTGCGGCCCAACAAAATGCTTTTTTAGTAACTTTATGGAGGGACGTGGGATTCTACTGGAAGTTTCCATGCATTGGAACACATTAGCAATTACTAAAAAGAAATCCAACGTTGTATTAAATGATTTTTGACTTTCATTGTTGGTTTCACTACTCTGTTAACCTCCTAACAAATCCTAAATGACTGTTATTCTAAACGTTATAAAAAAATTAATCCTAAGAACGTTAACAGCTATCCCTTCATGTTCTACTACGGAAGGATCATGTGTCTTTGCTCTACAGCAAGGGATGGGACAAAAAAAGACCAGACAACGTGATGTTTTGAACTACTCTCAATTTTATTAAGAGTCTCTTTTCAAAGGCGACCGCATCCTAAAAGCACTAAATACACAATGTACCCTGTAAGTTTAGACTTCAGCAAATTAAGAGTTTGAAAAAATCCGAGACTGAAGCTTGGAGATGGTCCTGAAGTGGTCTAGGTTTTATGAGAACACTGGTCAGATCACATTCGTTCCCGATACTCTGGAGCGTAGAAACAAAGCTACTGTAGGTCAGGCTGCAAACAAATGAGGAATTCTGGCACATTGACTGTCCAGTGATCGACAAGGGAAAATAAATTAAAGGAGCGAGTTCTGTTCCCGGGCTATTAATACCACTATTTGATCAAAGTACATAAAGCATTTTCATCATGACTGAAGAAATGCATCTACAGTATTTAAATCAAATTTCCAGAGTTGACTTTGATCATATCTGAGCAGCTCCTCAGCCGTGCAGCGTTTCCCCGCATTTCCCCACAGAGCCACTGATTCCTGCAGAGGGCGCACAAACCTTTGTATTGTGCAGACAAGAGCGAAGTCTGACATCGACACAGACACCTTTTGTGCTGAACAGTCCACACCTCTGAGTAAGAAGGAAAACCAAAACCAAAACAACCTTAGCTGACGTGGACCAAACGGCAAAGAATGAACTCAAACTAAGACCAAAAGCAGTTCTGTCAGAAATAGGGTGCTTTTAATTCAGATCATTCCTCAAATGATTGCAAACTCAAGCAGTTACAGTAGCTTATTTAAAACAGCCCATTCCGTGTGAGAAGCATAACATGAGGCGTATGCAAAACACTGTACCTTTAAGGAGTTAACTGGAAAGAAACGCGTAAAAAGGATGAAGATTTTCTCTGAGTTTAACACCTCTCTGAAGCCTTTTTCTGAATGTGTCCACTGTGATGTAGAAGCATTCTGATTTGAACAGATGCAAAACACATAGAATCCCTTTCAGTACAATGTGATGACATTCAGAATCAGCATGGTTGTCCAAGGTGGCTGCGTATGAACAGAAATGACTGTTTATCTATTTGCTTTTTCTAAATGGATGAATCTTGCACTCGCTCGAGCAAAAGTTTGGTCGGCGTTGCCCTGCAAAACACACACACACACACACACACGCACGCACGCATGCACACACACGCGCTCTTTAGAGGCCACTTTCTTCAGAGAGAGCACTTAATGGCTGTTTGCTGGGTGATGCAGGCATCCTACTAGCTGGGATCAGACGATTTTCCGAGTTCAACTTTTACTCCTTTTTCTCCTGCGCCTGCAAACAAAAGATTAAAAGACGTCAATGAAGTAACAAAAAAAAGAAGAAACTTTTTTTTTTTTTGTCAAAACCTACTCGTTAAGTACTTTTCTTTAGCTCTGGCTCGCTCATCTGCATCAAAATACCACACGGTGATGGCATATCTGCACAGACAAAATGAGAGGGTGGTGAGTGGCGGCGGGGCGGCCCGGTCATCCGGACGCCGGCTCTGGGGCAGATGTGGGCGGCGACCTTGTTGTGAAAGCGGGCTGGACCTCGTGGGGGTTCCGTCTGTCCGACCAGAACAGCAGCAAGCGGTCGAATTTTGGCTCTATGTCAGCAAACTGGGCCTTTCCTTCTGGGAAGATGCGAAGAAGGCCGCCGTGTTCCTGGAAGAGCGGAGCGAGGAGAAACAGCGCTATTATGCATACAAATCAGGTCAAAGCCAGAACAGGAAGGTAAAGAGGAACCAGCACTCAAGCAGGCCCTCTGTGGTGGCCACCGCTTTAGATTTCATCCTCATTTACATTCAGAAGAAGACAAAAGTGCGACACAATAAAAAGGACACTTCAATTAAAGCCACTTTTTTGTGTGCGTGTGTGTGTCAGTGATCAAAGCGGGCCGACAATGTTTAAAGGCAGGGGGCCGTCCAACCCCAGGGGCTAGGAGGAAAGCTCAGGATAGGAAGCAGCAGCGGGGGACGGCTTTCCTGTGGAGGGATAGGAAGAATAACCCACAGGAAAACTGCTCCGGCTGGATAAAGGACCTGGAGAGTGAAAAAGCAGATTGCTGCAATCGGGCCGCTTAAACTCTCACACAGCTGATATGATAGGCCCCTCTCTTCACACGCAAGCCCGCCGCGTTGGAGCGTTCACACCCTCCGCTGGAGGAGCAGTGGCCTTTTCCATTTACAGCGCGCTGAATGAGGGGGAAAGCCGGCGGTGTGACAGCACTAAATCCAACACAATAGGGTCAAAGAAGACAGGAGTCATTTTCTCTTTCACCCCCCACCCACCCACCGCCCTCCTTTTCTTTTTAGCAGCACGTAATCAGCTCAAGCAGCCCCAGATTTCACCGACGCGGTAGTTCGGCGTGGATTAGAGGACGCGCGGGATTACGGCCTCCAGCAGGCCATGACCTGCTGACCTACACCTCGCTGAACTTGACTGATGTTCGGAGTGAAGCCACACGGGCGGCGGGCGAATAAGCCTCCAGCTAAACAACAAGCAGCAGAAAGGTGTCAGCCATCCCTCTGGGTTTTTTAAAAAAAAATCTGTTGATATGGACGCAAGCACGGCCACAGATTTCAGGTCGACTGGCTTTCGGTCCGTTAAAGGTGTGATGGCTGATGTTTAGCAAACACTTTTTTAAGAAGATCTTTGCAGCTGTTGACACAATAAAAGCTGATGTCACTAATTTGTTTGTCTGCGCCACGCCTTTCCCAAAAAACTGTTTCCATTGTATCTGGATGGCTGAAAATACAGACGGCACGGATAAAACTGAGAAGTGAGCGGCGGAAGCTGGAGGGATAAACACATTTTTTTACCCGCCCCCCCCGCCCCCTGCCCCAAACGCCGTCAAAGGTAAACAAAATCCTGCCAAACCCAACACCCCCATGAGAGCACCTTTCATAAAAGGAAGTCACATGGTGTCCATGCAGAAACCAGCAGGACTGGAGTGGAAAGCAGGACGCTTTCTGCATTGTTCAGACTCCATTGGGCGCTGAGCTGATGGTTACTGCAGATGGGCCACGTGGTTGTCACATGCCGCATGTCACGGCTGGCATATCTCATCTCACTCTCAGTCATGCCTTCACACAGAGTATTAAGGTGAAAATGAACCCGTGGAGGATCCACTTCCTTCCCGTGTGTTTGACTCTACAGTTTCAACAGCTGAATGGGCAGAACTCGCACTGATTAAGCTTCAGCCGCCGAAATAACTTCAGTAATAAATCTGTGAGCTGCATAATAAGGTTTTTATTTTTCACCCCCTGTCGATACTAACCGGGCAATCTGGGTGTCGCAGCATCCCAAACAAAAAAGCCAATGTTGGGGCAGTTAAGTAACAGGAACAAGTGAACCTGAACATTCCAAAGCCATGTCATTCTTTCATGGAGCCCCGGTATCCAGGCAACCACATTCTATACCAGATAGCCTAATAGGCCAGCCAATCACAGAGCAGATTTGTGGTTATTCACATGTCCAAAAGGGTTCTATAACAGGGGCCAGCGCATGAGCATGGCAGCAGTTTGGCTGGTGCACAAGACCCATTCTGTTGTGGAGGCTCTTAACTGCTTTTGTTTGAAAACTTTAATGCAAAAGAACCCAACAAAAACACCAAGGTCCGATTTGCCTGTAGACAAAAGGGTTAAAAACATACGTGTCATGAGAAGTCCTGAATAAACTGCTAAATAATCTCCTAAAAAGTGCTAAATTAAGTGCGTGTACTGCAAACTTCTCTGAAAGAGAAAGCTGGAGCCTAACACCTGTATTCTACCTGGCTGATGAAGCCACAAATGCTCACCCTCTCTTGAGTAGTAGTGACACCTAGAAGGCAAACAAAAAGCCACACTGCTGAAAGGTAAAGTTTGGGAAGCGGCCTGGCAGACCAGGTTCCCTCTATGCAAGTGTGCAGCTCCGCTGAGAGGCATCAGCGGCTGCCTTATGTTGTGAGAGCTGCTGTTGCTTCCTGCTCCTCAGCATCCTGTTTATCCGTCTCACATCAAGAAGAGAGCTCCTTTGCTGCTTGTCTGATGACACTGCCTGTTTAGCCTTCGACACCGTGGCTGAATTGTTCGGAGGTTTGAAGCGAGCTGAGCCCGATGCCGTAATAAGAGACGGACAGAGGACATTTTTCTAAAGCAACACCTGATCTATGCAGCGGGAACCCAGGATGATTCTTTGAATTTTTTAGCAGGTGTGGCTGGTGTCATGGGGTCGCTTTTCTCCCCGACACTAGATTAGCGGGATTTCTGTCATTTAATGAGATTACGGGTGGGTAGAGTAACCATGCGGCGTGTTCTGGCTTGTCACCATTAACACCGACACCACTGCAGAAGTGTGGGCTTCGAGCAAAGAGGAGAGGCGTGTGCACCAAACCGTGCTGAAACACTCAACCATCCTGCTGATTATTTCCCTTTTAACAGTGATTTAACTGAAAAAACGATTCGGTACTTTGGGTTAGAAAACAAAAATAAAAAAGGTATGTTCTGCATACCTTGGCATTCCAATCTTTATTAAGGTAATATATGCATGTGACACACCGTCCATCGCCGTTGGGGTTATCCACGTGGCGCACATAGCCCGTTCCGTTTCCAGGGTAACATGCCACCATTGCCTGAAGAGAGGAAGATGAAAAAACGTGATTAGTGAAAACAGATGCGCAGTGACACGAGCACAAACGTAAGCGGACGCAGTTAAGATCTCCCGAACGGCAGACTAAACGAACGCGAGAGAAAGGAGAGGGCTCAGAGCATTAGTCCCGCTGCCGGCGAGGACGGAGGCGGCCGGAGCCCCGGCTGTGGGATTGGATTTGGGAAGCGGCGCAGCGTCTGGGGCCGCACCTGCACGCAGACTGACACAAGCAGAGCCCGCTGCTTCATTAGGAGCTTTGGGGGGAATAAACAGGAGATACTGTGACTCATGCCAACTTCCCCTTGCCTCTTCCTGCTCTATTAAGGCTCGTGCGATCTGTTTGTGTGTTGGCAGCGAACCCCTATGAGCTCTCGTAAACTTCTTGGTGTAAACAGCGAGCGCAGGCACACGTACGGTGCAAAAAGCCCCTCGGGAATAAGGCGCACGCAAGTGGTGACTCGTACTGCGATGGGCTGGAAACAAATGTGTTCATTACAGAAGTCAAAAGCCTGAAGACGACATGGTTAACCTTTTTTCGCTTTCTTTTTAAATGAAAAAATAAATCCATCTATCCCCTCCATCTTTAAACACTGACTTCTCAGCCCAAAGATTAGGAGAAAAACGTGGAAATATTGCAGCCGTTTGTGTGACTTGAAAGCGAAGCCGAGGAGAGCGTCAAACATGCACAAACAGAGGTTAGCTCCAGCCCTCATACACAGCGGCGACTACACAGCGATATCGGAGCTTTAAGGCAAGTTCATCCACATTCTTTCATGAACTTGCATCAACATAAACCACAAACCTTATTGTAAACACTAACAGCGGGCTGACCTTCGTCAACAGGTCCTGAGTGCTAACGTCACAGCACTGATGTCTCAACCCTAAGAAGATAAAGCTGGTGCTCTTTGGGAGAATGAAAAGGGGATGGGGCCACATCTCAAAAAGTGGTAAAGCCTCCCGACATCCAATGAGAGCTCACGCCCGAGCCTTGTTTTCCTCAACATCTGATCGCTGCTTGCGTCAGCTGACATTGTGCTCACATCTTTGGTGTGATGCAGGTTACCGCTGGAATGCACAGTATAAGGGCTTCCCAAGCTGGAAAACAACAAAAGTCCAACATAAAGATGAGAAGGGGGGAGGGGGGGGGGGGGGGGGGGGGGGGGGGTGGGGGGAAATAAAAAGAAAAAAAAAAAGAAAAAGGAAAGGAAAGAAAAAAAAGAAGAAGGGGTGGGTTTCAGAAGAAACAGCTGCTGAATGAGGGGCATGCACACTGACAAAGGGCTTCCTGTGTGTAAGACACAGTACAGTGTGCTTTACTGGGCTTGTGTGAAGGACTGTGTGTGAGAGACAAGAGGGATGGAGAAAGAGGGAGAGGGGCACAGACACAGAAATCAGAGGGGCGGGGCTTCAGCAGGAGAGAGGAGTGAACTGCGGTAAACTTTGACTCCTGGCCTCCCTCCAGAGGGAGCAGTATTTTAATGGTTGTGCTACGTGCAGAGCGTGAGGAAGGTTGGCTGATCCTCGACTGTGTCACCCCTCCCACCCCTTAAGTGCTGAGCTTGCTGGTTGGCTCGGGATGGGTAAAGTGTGGCTGTGGGGTGTGTGTGTGTGTGTGTGTGTGTGTGTGTGTGTGTGTGTGTCAAGTTAAGGTGATGGAGCCTCAGAAACTTAAGACACAGCTGTTTGGTCTCTCTCTTTCCTACACAAGGCTGCAGCTAGTCTTTGCCACACACACACACACACACTGGGTTATGAACGGGTGAGTGCGCCACATATTGGATTTGGGCACCCACATGCCATCTGACCATCTTAACACACAATAAACGTAAAACACAAAAACTATGAAGAATATCACTAAAAAAGTATAAACCATGAAAAGCAGAAGTTGACATGTCACTTTAAAGACAAAAGCGTACAAAAAACAACAAAAAAAAACAGAACACTGGAATGCAGAACAGCTGTTATCTAGAAATGCCAACCTTGTATGGGGTGCTGTTTAATTCCAGTTTGCCTTTTTCTTGTGATCTGGTCATGAGAACCGAACAAGCTGAAGCACACAGAAGAGACACGGCTTGAGATAAAAATCCTCATTCAGACAGAAAATCTTGATGAAGTGCAACATTCAGACAGCCTTGGAGTGTGTTCATTTCCAATAGCAGGTTCTCCACAGCGACAGACATGCAGTAATACTGAATATGCTCGGGCATGTTAATCCTAAGGTGGCCCTTCGCTGGCCTTATCACTGAACAGTCAATGCGGTGCTCCAGAAACGGCCTGGGCGGGGCTTTGTGCTCCTGGCACAGAGGGACGCCCGCTTCGGTGGTCATGCTGAGCCAAACTCTGCGGGATTCGGGGTGCCACCGTCACCCCTGACCTCTATATCCTTAGGAAGCCCCCATTCTTTCAGCCACTCACGCTTCCGCGTTCCGCTGGGGCCCTCATTAAGAGGCTGACCTTGCTCTTCATGTTGTTTGTTTACATTCCACAGGCAGAGCTTCAGAGGCCAACTGGCATTTACATGCAGCGAGCGACGGGAATAGAGGTCACCAAAGCAGGGCCTTCAGAGAGGCCAAAGCTGAGACGCAGTCCTCCACCTGCACGCATTTACCGAGCGGGGGGAAAAAAGTCAGTCATTCACACCCAGAACCCTGAAAATGGCACGGAGAGCACTAATTAAGTTTTCCCCCCTTCGGTGTCGTTCACAGGACCTCATGAGAATGAGACTCTGCCTTCTCAGTTTCAAAAACAGAGAAAAGGAAAAACACACACTTCAGCGCAAGTTAATCATCAGATATTATTTTGAGGCAAAGGCGCTCATCTCCCAGTCACAGCTCTCCCCCCCTTACCTCACCCCCTATTCTCAGAGAGTTGACACACTTAAATAATTTAACAAGCGCCTGAAAAAAAAAATGAAAAAAAAAAACTATGTTTGTGCAAACGTGAAGCTGACTTGTCTCATTTCTCTGTATTTATTTGAGTCGGGGTACAGTGGTCATGGTCACCAAGTGCAAGGAGGTGACCAGACGTGATTTTCCATCAAACCAGCGGCACAGTGGTGGGTTCACGGCCTGGTGGTTTTACATAACTAGCTGAGCAACCGTAATAAGAAACCGTTGGGGTGGTGGGGGGGGGGGGGGGGGTGATCCAGTGAGCCTGTCTCATGTTAGAATAAAATTCCTTCTTGTGACCGGGAAACCACCTTCAGTCTTTTTTACGACATCATCAAATTATGCCTAATAATGTTGAACGAGTTAAAAAAAATAAAAATAAAATAAGTTGCCCCATTAAATCGTGTGTGGACGGGAATTAAGGTTGAAACGTACACACTTCACATGACCGCATTCCCGGCAAGCGGGATGTCTCTGGAAGCTGCTCGAACCAGACTTCTCACAGACACACACATACATACACACACACACAGGGAAGCAAATAGTCTAATTCAACAGCTCCGTACGGCTGTCAGATCACGCAGCCACATGATAAGTTTTACTCCCCAAAAAATCTGTGACTCTGGTCTTCCTTTTCTGGGTTCGTCTCCCTTGCTGTGATTCCCCTTCCTTTTAACACACCTACTCCTGGTAGTGCGCCTGCATGCGACGAGTGACTAAGCTTTTTTAAAAATCTTTTAAAAATATGATCTTTTTTAGCCCTTTTTGTTTTGTTCGAGGGAAAAGCAGCCGCCAAAATCGTGTCCACGCCATCAGCAGTGGATCTTCACCACCATCTACAGACTGAAGCGTGACCTCAGAGACAGCACAAACTAAATAAATGAAAATACATTTTGAGAAAAAAAAAACATACTGGTGACAACAGAGATAAGAGGACAGGAAGAAGAAATCGTGGAGAATTACCCGTCATTTCTAACAGACAATGGTGTTCTGTTTGGTGTTTCAGAGGAGGGACGTATGGTCTGATTTTCTTATTTCTGTTACAACCAACAACTCGGTGCATTTCCTGCTGTGAGAAACCAACACCGAAAAGATAATAGTTCAGATTAAGGCTGTGTCACGATTGGGTGAGAACCTGGCATTCAGAAAAAACTCCCGAGAACTTCTATTCTGCATTGACCTGATCACTCAGGAGGATACACCGATCACTATGATGCTAACAAGTCGTCACACACTGCGCGCGCACACACACACACACACACAAACACACACCGATGTGAGCCATGTACCGGGGTGGAGCAAAAACGGAAAAGCTGCAAGGGGTCTGCTCACTTCACAGACGAGATGCTTATCCAAACACGAGCACAAACAGTTGGGATTGAGACCTTGCAGCGCAGGGGAGTGTGGGAACCGAGACGGGTTGTGTCGGGAGAGCGCAGCGTTTTATCTGGAAGACAGCGCTGCTGCCGCAGAGGAAATCCTGCTTTTAAGAAGCGACCTAGTTTACTCTTATTTACAGTAGGACGTGAACAATAGGGAGACGCATTCAGCTGCCGTGTGGCTCTGTACATGCTGCCACTGTCCTGATTCACATAAACATACACAAACACCCACAAGCAACGTATATCATGCACAAATACACACAATACCAAGACCATTCAACAACCAGGCGCTCTGGTTCCACTGTTTTCATCTGATCAGGGTGAAACACATCTCTGGAATGATCAAATAAATCCAAATTTCTGACATTATTTTTCATTATCTCCATAAATATCCAATCATAGTGAGATTCACACCATTTGCTGGGGAGGCCACTGAGCTGACAAATTACCACAATTTCAGAAACCGAATGTGAAAGTCTCCCCTTACGTAAAGACTCAGGGGCACGTTCCAGCTTTTTTTTTCAAATGCAAAAACAAAAATAAATGCAAAATATAATATAAATAATATCCAAATAATCTAATAAAATACACTATTTGTCCATTTTTTAAGGCATGTTTGATGAAGCCAGAATTATTATTACTGCTGATGCAAAACTGTGATTCTTTAACACAAAATGATCAAAAGCAGAAGGAACTTCCTCTATAGGATGCGGTGGCATCATTTCTGCTAAAGCTTGTGTATTTGACGAACCCCCAGATGGATCACAGAGGGTTTTAGGCCGGGGCTGCCTGTGCGGTATTCACATGAGACGGGTTAGTCTGTGCTCCGTCTAACTTTAGAACAATAAGCAGGAAAAGTGTGGCATGCAAGGTGCTGCCTCAGTCACACTGGTACTGTAGGCGGATGGAACAAATGTCTATGTAGGGTCTATAGTAGAATGGACAACCGGCTCCAGCACGAAGGGGACTGCCGTCACATGACTTCCTCTCCTCTACATACTCTATAGAAGTTTAAGATTTGGGTCAACGGTCAACTTCCTTATGATAGCGGACGTTTCCACAACCACCCAATCACATTACAGTTCACAAATGCACACAACAGGTGGAAATAGGTGCATCAAATACTCCAAAACTATCCAACCACCTTAAACACTGTTAAAGCTCAAGACAAATAAACATTAATTACGTTTATGCCAGCTTAATTTGGGTTGCGGGTATTTTGATAAATTCATTATTTTCTATGGAACAACAACTTGATGATGACCAACACTGAATTGATAACTCTGTACACAAGCTATGATGAAGCTTATATTATCAAATCTTGTTAGATATGCATTGGGATATAAAGGAACAAGGTGGCTCTCTGCTAATTGCACAGGTAATTCCAAATAAAGCAGAAAGGATCAATAACCTTAATGTTACTTCTTGCTTCATGACAGGACGTGCTTGCTTTAGTAGATATAAAGCCATGGATGATCGGCATGTCTCATCTACCTTATGTAATTGTGTTCCATTATGCTGAGATACCAGTCCGGCCAACACTGAACTTTAAACTCTAAAGACAGTCATGTTTGGGACAAACAGACATCCATGAGGCAGCCCTGTTGTGGCAAGCTGCTGCTTTATCATTCAGCACAAAACAATGAGTCAGTGACAGGACAATTGCATTACTTTAGCAGTCTTCTCTTAGCTTCCTGGTAACACTATAATGGAATCATAGAGCATTCAACAAGCTGGAGCTGCAGAGAAACGTGCCCCACTGTCTGCGACTTCCCACAGTGTTATCGAGTGAAGAGGGGAAGTGGAAACAATGACATTTAATAACTATTTGGGCAAAATCCTTTTCCTCCGTCTCTGCCAATGTGAAATGTGCTTACACTGTGCTGTATCCTTTTGAGTCATTGATACTTGTGGCCCTCATTTGTGCAAGTCATGCTGATTCTTGTTGGTCACAGTCCAGCTGTGTGTTTGCCAAAGCAACTGGGCCCAGCAGGCGACGGGGACAAGGCCTGGGCAGTGTGCACCGTAGTGGACGGCTGCTCAGTCCGACAGCGCAACCTGAAATAACGCCCTTTCTGAAAAACATCTACCATATACTGACAACCGGCCAGGGGAAAGGAACATAACTGGACGTGAGTGGACACCTAAAAATAACAGCAGCCACAGCTCAGAGGGCCGCATACCTGAAACCAGCAATGAGCCGACTCCACCACCAGAGCCTTATATATCAAGCGCTGGTGGTCTCTGGACTTATTCCCCTTTAGAATACTTTACTTTCAACAGAAGAAGATGAAGAGGAGGGAAGACTGTAAGCAGCTCAACCCCTCCAGGGATACTCTCATGCCACAAGGTCATGGTGACAAGATCTGGGTGATGGAAGAGCTGCGGGTCACACGCAAACTGAGATGGAGCCACACTGACATGACTTCGGGCTGATGTAATTAGCTTTTTCTGAAATCATGCTCATCATTTGACACGAGAGGCTTTGAATCATGTTGCTCACTGTAACCAGGGAGGGACCGAGAACACACTTCATTTTCTGAGAAAAGACCTGAGTGAGACAGAGGTCCCTCGTGTTTTTTTCTCTTTCGGCCTCCTTCCAAGCCGCAGATCAATGAGAGAATGCTCTATCTACCCATCGAGATGAACCGAAATCTTCATGCAAGCCGGCCATCTCACCACTACCTGCTCAGAAAATGACCAAAGGAATGTTTTGACATCACTGCTTAACCTTGCAAAATCAAATGTGATCAAATACCACAGTGACACATTTATCCAGCCTATCTGCAACGCGCAAGTTTTTAAATCAGAAGCAACTTAAAAAACCTTCACAAAAAAAATTCTATCAAAGTTTGACTGTTACACTGTTGAAAGCAAACCTTCTCTGATGACTGGATTAATCTTAGTTCCATTCGTTTTGCCAACAAAACTGAATAAAAGATAACTGGATGTGAAATTGGATCTTTGTAGATTCTAAGTTGTGAAATGACTTTTTTTCTGCTGATTGCACAATGAAACACTGAGGATTTTGTGTATAGGAACCCACACTGCATGCTCGCCTCAAACATGCCTATTATCAGGCTACATGAAACATTATTGCTCATTACTCAAGCAATACACCAGTCAAGAGTCAGAATAAGCCTCATCAGTGTAATTACGGCCACTTTTTCCCCCTGCAAACTTACATTACTGGAGCATCACCCCTAACCGTCCTGATTTGAGTGGTATACTGAATATTTGGAGGTACCTGCAAAAATGACAAATATTCCAGGTTCACTGACCCCACCGTCTGATCATCTGCACAACACCGTTTGGTCCCTGTGGGGCCGGACTGATAGCCCTCACAGAGATGACTGGGCACCTCCACCTGTTGAAATACTTACTTTTGTCCTTCCATTTATAGTGTAGTTTCCCAGTTTGCCGTTACAATGTCGGATTAGGTCGTCCATGCGACTCATTAGAAAGAGGATCTTCTCGCAGCCAGGCTCCTTCCCCTCTATCCACGCTATTTTGTCCCCTCGGATGTCCTTGGTGGAATCGCTCTTTTGACTGACCAACTGCCCGTCTGTAAATTTGCCCGTATTGTGCAGGGCCTTCACATTTTCCAAAATACCCACCCCAGTCTCCAAGCCTAAAAAATTGTCCACAAAACAGATGCCGTGCTTGTTCATGCAGGGAATGATGTACTCCGTGGCAAGTTTGAGAGCGGATGAGCTGGTCTGTCCGTTAGGTGTGGCGGGGCTGTTGGGGCCGTCCTCCCCCGCTCTGTCCACCACTTCACGTGCGTCTGTGTCTGCAGTTTGCGGTAAGGATGCGGTGTCCGCCAGCTGGGAGCTGCTCTTCTTCTCTTGGTTTTTTTCCGATTCCTTGTCGTCCCCCGACGGCGGACCCTGTCCAGGATTCTGTTTGGCAAGGAGAGCCTTGTCCACCTCCTTACAGATCAGCTTGTGCTTCTTCCAGTGCTGTTTCTGGTGCTCCTTGCTGCAGTAAAAGGAGCTCCGGCACCTACCACACTTGAGGAGGTTCTCCAATTTTCCACAAAGTTCACAGTACTGTCGCTCTCGCTCCAAATCGCTCTGCTGCCTTTCCATTTTTGAGGCGACAGCGGTTGTACTGCTCCTTTAATTCCGATCCTTCACACGCGCCCTGCTAACCGACAACTTTGGAAACGACCCACTGCCTCGCTACACTGAGCGAAACGGGGACATAAAACTCAAAACCACGCCATTTTGCCCAACTCATCACGTTGTTATATGTTCTATCACTCAAGTAACCGGTCAATATGCGCCCGTGGCTTGGCATTCTGAGGTGGGTCGAGGTCTTCGGCTGGCATTTCTGCAGGTTAGCTATCGCTGTTCCCGTAATGCATGGCGTAGCTCAGCTCCGTTGTGCTATGTCTTCCCGTCGGCCGACCCACTCTGACGTCAGAGTACAAGCTCCGCCTCCCGCGCTACCTTCAAAAGCTGTCGGACAAATAAACAAATCTTTTAGACACGTGGAAGTTTCTCATCAGATAATGACATGGCTTAGAATAGCATACGCTTGCACATTTTCAATTAAATACATTAAAAAAGTCATTATCTCGGCTTGGCCCAACTACTCAATCGGACCACCACCTTGGCTATATTCTACTATTATTGTTTGCTTGCACTCTGACACATTTTAGCACTGCAATCTTCCATTAGGCCATAAACATGAAATATTCGTTTTTAAAGAGTTAACCAGCCGTTGCACTTGAAAGTTTAAGTTAATATAACTATATTTTATGTTTTAATAGTTTTGATCACATAGCTATTATAGTTCAACTTTGGAAAAACGGCTTAATTCACACTTGCACACATGCTATGAGTTAGAAGTAATTGCCCCTTAAAGCTTTTCTCTCCTTGCCCTCTAACAAAAGGGTTACATAGCTGCAAACTGTCTTTATTTTGACAGTTTTTATGTACATTACACCAAAATTGCAAAGTCATGTGGAAGGCACTGGATGTGCAAGAACAAGAGCAGCTTTTTTAAATGTTCTTTATTTATATTTACTATTCATAACCAGATTTGTATACTAATACATTAGATTATGATAGAGTACTATCATCCTATAGAAAAGGATTCTGCAATCGATTGATAGTAAACTTTAAATTAGGATTTGAATGTATGGCAGGGTACACTGCTCCATCGTGTTGCCATGTGCTGAAATCCAATATACACAATTAAAGAATGATTAGCTCAAAGCTTTAGCACATTTGATTGTCTTCAGTAAGAAGGTCTATAAGGTTATAACTGCGCTTATATGTATATATCTATAAAACAAATAACTGCATATAATCAAAAATGTACCTTCACGACGCACACGTATATTACAAATCAGACGGTGTATTGCGAATCGCTGTGGTTTGTCATACGGGCAAATTCGCAATGTTTACTAATGTCCTAACGCTTAAGATCCCACTGGCACCACACGCCACGCACGTACACAGCACAGAAAATAAAAGGGAGGGGCCGTGGTGGGAAAGATCAGGGTATTACAGTGTTACTGCTTTAAGTGACCGAGATAAGTAATGTCAACAGGCAGCAAAAAGCTGGATAACAGCCACTTTTAGCAAATACGGGCCTATCTAAAAGCAGAACTTCTAATGAAACTGTTCTCATCACATGTGAGGCCAGATTTTTTTTTTCAAAGCAGGAGCATGCCCATAGTTCAAGTTAGAATATCTGCAACGGTAAGGTTTAAAATATGTTGAATTATGTATGTACAAAAGTAAAAATAATTCATACAAGGCCAACCAAGTCTGCAACATAATGCTGTTTATGATCTGTTAATCAACAAATCATGATGCAAACAATCGAATGTGGTCATACCAAGCAGTCTGGACGCTTCTGAATATCTTTTGAAAAAACAAACAATAAAAATATACTGTATGCTCTTAACGTGCTGTGTCCTCGCCTTTTTCATAGCAAAGCCATTTTCTTTAGGAAACTACATCTCCCATGATGCACCTCGTCCGCATTTCCTGTTACGCAGGTAAACAGCGTAAAAGCCCCATGGTGAACGGAGGCTGCACGAGTGCCTGCTATTAAAAACAAGTTAATTTCTTAAGCAGCATGATCATACCGTCTCTAAGTAGTACAATTACCAGCGCACAGATACGTTTATGATACGAATTAATAGAGCTATTTATCTTATGTCCTCGACAGCTCTTTCTGCGTGAAATAAATAGCCTGTGTTGTTAGAGTTTATTCGAAGCTCGGACACCATCAGAGGCTAACATAGCGAAAACAGACCACAACAAAGCGTAATATTTACAGCAAATACAAGGTTGAAGGAATGGATAATAGAAACGGTAAGTCTACTCTTTCTGAAATGAATATGTATATGAAACATCATATTTGCTGTTGAGTCGCATGTGATATCCTGTTAGCTATGTGCTGAACTTTAGCTAGCAATAGATTTTTAAACCCAACATTCAAATCGATTCCGTTTCAACTCATCTGATGAAAACTGTCGTTGTTTTGCTCTCTATAACTTCTGGACAAAAATACAACCCATGCACAATGTTGATTGTAAAAAGCTAATTGGACTGAGCTTTCGTTTATTATAGTAGTTATAAAAAACAGTCCAATGACCATAAAATCATCCTAAACCTCCGGATGTCTTTCTATATGTACAGTATTGTTATTCCAATAATGTGGCCCATGAAAAAACAGAAATATGATTCAGGATTTGTTGAAACAATTTTCACAGTCTGCATTCACATATTAAACTCTTAATATTTATTAAGAACGGAGTTTCCCTCGTTGCTCATGTTTCTGGGCTCTGCGTTGATCTGAGAATGTCTCCACGGTAAAGTAGTGGTCAGGAAAAGCACCTTTTAGCTTTGTGCAGCAAACCATTTTATGTGTGAACTACAGGTGCCACAAGCCATCAGTAGAAAAAACTAGGCTGATACATGACAGCATCTGTAACTGTGGGTACATGATTGTACCACTGTCACCACACTGTTATTACCCACATAAGGGCAAGTAAAAAATTCCAAGTAGCACATCCAGCAGCTTAGATGTTGTGCTCCTTGTATGGCTTTTGTTTTTTTTTTAACTCTTACCACTCTGCTGATTTTTTCCCCGACATGTTTCAGGTGAGGGATGTTCAAGGAAAAACCCCTCCGCAGCACGGGAGCGAGATGTGGTAGCCAACCAGTCCTCACCTGTCATCGCCGCCTTCAAAGGTAAGCGCGCCCTCAGAATTCAACCGACCGCGCTTTTCGGCCCTCTCTTCGTTGAAACTTTTCTTTCTGTCTTTGAAGTTTTCCAGCAGGAGCTCGACACCAAACACGACAAATATGAGCGTCTTGTGAAGCTCAGTAGAGACATCACCATCGAAAGCAAGAGGACCATTTTTCTTTTGCACAGAGTGACCAAGTAGGTTTTGCTCTTGTAGGATATTTAGTGCTGTCCAGTGGTTTTCCTCCTTTATACTCAGATTGTAATTGTGTCCATGCCGTTATTATTTTTCCCTTTTTGAAGCTGCATGAATGAAATGCATCAGAGTATAAAGAAATTAACTGGAGCTACTATCGACTCTTCCTATCTGCTCTGTACAGGCTGTAATACCCAGTAAAGGTTCTTCTAATATCTGTGCTCTGTGGTTGTGAAGCGTTCCAGATACAGAAAGTGTTCTGAACGAGGCAGAAGTGAAGCTGGACGGAGTCAGGCAGAGGATCAGTCAGGTGGCTGAGGAGCTGAGAGGGGAAGACATTTTTCAGTTTCACAGAGCTTTCACTCCAGGTGAGTTTTCACACAAAGAAAACTTGACATCTGAACCTGACGTTCAATTACAGTACAGGATGATGGAAGAGGACATTTTTTTCCATCAGCACGAATACGTTTTTGTCCCTCCGAACACATTTATGATCATCAGGGTCCTTGGGTACGACCTAGAGGACCAGGTTCCATCTCACCCCGGTATACCTAAATGTTTCCGGCCCAGCCACTGCATTTGTGGATGTAGCCGCCCTCCCCTTCTACACATTCCTTTTATAAGAGTGCTGGTTTGTCGTTAACTTCTGTCTAAAGTGGCCAGCCTGTCTTAAACCCAGGTTTGTGGCTGTGCGTCCAATTAGCGCCGCGGCGCAGATTAACAGGAAAGAAAACATGGAGGACAGAGAAACCAAAGGCCATTGAAGGAAACGGACTTCACGTGTTCTTTTTATACCAGTTAAACAAACATTTGATTCTGTTTGTTTATTTATCCTCGGGTGGTTTTTGGTCCTCCATAGTTGTACTTGAAGTGGCTGATAGTGTGAGAGCGTGACCTTGATGCAGGCCTGGATATGATAGACACACCCTGTGATAAGGTTGTTTTCTGACCAGCGCAAGTTTTTGTCCGGCAGCCATAATGTCTGCAGAGTTTAGAGGAAAACTGTTGTGGGAGTGAGGGTGAGCTGTTATCTAGCAGCTGGGGAAGTCATTTTTAGATTGCGGTCATGCAGGAATCACTGCTGCATCCTCCACGACGTGACCAGTGGCAGTTACCACCAATTAGTGGTTTTATTTTTTTCCTCTTTTTTTTTTTTTAAACGTTATTAGATCGTGACTGGGCTCTCAACATGTGTTCCCCTCCAGGAGTCTCCAGGCATGCTTAATGGGTTTGTTTTTTATGTTTAAAAAAAAAAAAAACCAGGACCATCAAAGATATTGCTGGCTAAATTTGAACACAAATGCCACTGATAACCGGGCAATGTGGCACTTTGATAAGCCCTCTGGC